TTAAATCAGGGAGGATTAAGTTTAGGTATTTCTTCTTTTGATGCTCCAGAACTTTATAATCTAATATTGAGACTATTCACTTTTGACTTGGGTCCAAGAAGATGCATTGATCTTTAAAGGCCGCCAAGGACACTTCCTTAACTGCTTGTAGATGTACTTTGTCTTAACAGCTGATGACATTGAGAGTGTTTGGGTACAGAAATATGCACCAACCTTGCCTGGTGCTTAACAGCTTCACGGTTGCTCACAGTACCCCGTGCTGCATGGTGACGGGCAAGGCTCCTCCTGCCCCTCTTATGCCTTGGCACTCAGGGGGCTAGTGTGAAAGTAAATACAGTATGGGTATAACTTCCTTTCCCTCGACCTTGACCATGTCCTTTTAAGTTCCTCATAAAAATTGTGAGCTAGTGCAGAGAATACCCTGAAATGATCTGTAGGGAACTGATTGAATGAACCAAATATTCTAGGCTAGGCTGAAATTATTCGCTATTTGAACTTGGAGTGGAGCATAATGCCATGCAGGTTAATAGATCAGTGAAAGCTGTTTTGTCAGCTCATAAAAAGGTAAGAAGACTAAATTTTTATAATAAATAGTTTTGCTGAGCAAACAATATGTGCAGTTATTAAGGACTTTGGAAAATAAATGATTTTAGACTAATGTCAGGCTCCAGATCCTGATGTGGTAGTTGAGCCTTCAAAATGAAAAGAATGAAAAACCTTTGGAATATTGTTGACACATTATGAAAGCACATGGCATTTAATTCATTACTACACTTTTCAGATAACATTTATAGTTGTAGTATTAACCTCTGAGCATTTTTTTATTACTTATTGAGGGTCGTTTTTCTGGGAGGATTAATTTTATTGGGAAGGCGGGGACAGAGGTTTGGAGAGGAGTGGATTGGACGCACATTCTAGGATGAGACCAGCACAGATGGTCAAAGGCCCTGCCACCTTGGTCCTGGTCTGCAAGGGCCAGTGCCTGCACCCCGTGTCTTCAAAAGCCCTGATCACATTTAAATAGCTTTCTACATGTATTTTTTATCTTTTAAAAAGCATGCCCCTTGAAAAAAATGAATCACAAGCCTACAGACTTTCAGAATAATAATTTGAACTTCTCCTTGCCCATTGCCCCTGGTGCCTTCCATTGTCGCTTTCCCTGGTTTCGGGTCCATCCTGGGAATGGGAACTGCAGCCCCTCTGGGCCCTGCTGTCATCAGGATACCTGGTGTTGAATAGCCCTGCTTTTTAACAGCAGGGCTCAGTGTTGTCATTATCATTTGAAAGCTTTGGAAATATGAGAGTTGCTCTAGTAATGAAAGGTAAGTACAGTAGTTGTTATCACATTCAATATTTTGGTCAGTTTAGTGGTTGCTTAGTAACTAAAGTTAAACCGACTACAAGATGGAAAAACTTGAAATTCATTTCCAGGGATTGCCGCAGACTGCCAAGGAGACACCTTCCTGTTTAATTGTAACTCATTTGTTTTGAAGGACTTGAAATTTTTTGGAAATGGTGCATTGTTTTCTGGATGTTAGGCATACTAATAAGCATCCAAAACCATTCACTGTCTAAGGAGGCTCTCAAGCCCACCCAAATCCCCTAAATCTGGCAGAATTTGGATACCACTTCTCAGCCTTCACGGGCCCCAGCCTTGCTGATCCAGCCTCTAGGTGAAACCAGGCCCCTGGGAACTCCTCTCATCTCCAGCTATGGCTTCTGTCTAACCCTGTACTGGCCCTATGGGTGGTGGCAAAGCCAGGCAACAATTGAAGAGTGAAGAGTAGATAAAAATAGGCGGGGTCGGTGCTCCCCACACCTCACCCCGCAGGCAGCCACACCTCTACCCCGTATCTCTAGACCCGTAGGATTGGGGACTCTAGAGAATTAAAGATGAAGCTCTGGCCAGAAGATCTTCCTGGTAGAGGGGAATTATCGTTGATTTCTCTGGGACCTGGGGTCATCCCCTCCCTCCCCTTTCTTCCTTCATTCAGCAAAATACACTGAACACTTACTTTGTGCCTTCCTTCTTCACTTAATCCTGAGAGACAGACAGCAGCGCCTGCCTCTCTGTCCTCCCTCATAACACTGCCAGGGAGAATAGCTTTGGGGCCCAAGGAAAAACAGGCCCCAAAAAAGAACATCCCTCTGGAAGACAGACCCCCACGCCAAGCCCTACAGTTTGTGTGATCTGATACAAAACAGATGGGTACAAAATAAGCATGAGACATAAACTCAAAAAAAGAAGGAAAGATAATAGCAATGTAAAACAAAAACAAGGAATAATTTTTTAAAATGAATGAAGTAGAAATAACAAGTATGAAAAACAATAACTGAACTAATGAACAAAAGAGAAAAGGTGAATTATAGAATGAATGCAGCTACAGTTGGGTCAACTGCACGAACCCTCCAGAAAGCAGCAAGAAAGCATAAAGAAAGACTGAATGATGGGGAGGAGAGAAGTAGATGTGTAAACAATATCCAAATAATAGAGTTCCAAACAGAGCAGAAGAAATATTTGGATGAAAAAGATAAATTTGCCAGAATTAGAGAAAGATGAAAGGGCTCATCGAGGACCAAACAGGAGAGATTAGGAAAAGCCCTCACCAAGTGCTCAGAACCTCTGCTCGCTCAGCCAGGCCATTCCCCCATCCCACTGCCAGATCCTGCAGCCAGCTCCCCTGGTCTCGAGAGAGAAGTGAGACGCCACCTATAAATCTTATTTTAGGTATTCGGCAGCTAAGCATTTCCATCCTTCTCTTGTAAATGTGCAGTACTGGCAAGACGTGCAGGAGCCATATCCATATGTGCCCATCCCGTAGCCCCTGCCCAAGGCCAGGAAACTTGAAAGTGTCAGAAACATTCATGAAATGAGAATGAATGAATGAATGATGCCAGTAGCTAGGGAGGTTTGCCATGTATGTATGTGGACTTTGTAAATACATAGGAATAACTGATTACAGTTCAAAACTGTTTAAAAGTTGTGATTTGCCTTTAGAAAAGTTCTCCTTTTATTTCCTCTTGTAACCAGTGAAGTTTGCGCTGCATCAAGAGGTTGTCAAGGTAGCAGCTTTCTATACTATCAGATATCCTTTTCTGTCATGTTACTACCTTTTATAATTTTTTTTATCTTTTACCGTCATTGGACTATCTTTTCTTTGGTGCAGCGTTTTTTTCTGAGATCTTGGAGGCTTCCGTTTCAGATGATGCGGCGAGATGTTTAGTAACTTAAGCTGCCTCCCAGCCCACCCCCTTGCACCCAGCATTGCACTGCAGAGGCCCAGGCGGGGTGTTTGTCTTCCAGAGACACTGCCTTCTTCAGGAAGTCATCCTAAAAATAACTTCATTTAGCCAGGCCGTTCTATGAGTTGTTTCAGACTTTTCTCAGCCCAGTCTGAAAGCAGGATTCTATTTCAAACAGATACAATGAGCCTTGAACCAGAGCACAAGGCATCTGTTACCCCATTGGGGCTGCTGGGAGTTGATAAGATTGCTTCCAATCACGGTGTGCGGTTAAAGGTTAGGAAAGCCTAGCATGCAGCAAACAGCAAAAATCAACCAGCTGGAGCCTGAATATAGTTTATATAACTTTTGGTATTGAGGGCAGGTGCTTAGGACCAGAGAAGCAGGTTTGGAGAACAAAAGTCCAGCCTGACTGGGTACCCCAGGCTGTCTCAGGGAGTAGACTGGCCCCTCACTGGCAGGACAGGCTGCGTTTAGGACTCGGGCCTCCAGCCTGACTCCAAGCCCTGTGCAAGCACCAGAGATGAGGGCAAAGGAAACGTACAGACGGGAGAGGGGAGGGGAGGGGACTGGGCTGTGCTGTGCTGCTCTCTTAGTTGGAACTACTGGGAAGATTTGGGGAGGCCTGGGGGAGGGGGCGGAAGTAGGAGATGAGGTTCCCAGGGGTGGAGGGTAATCCAGGCAGATAGCACAGTTGGTCAAGGCTATATAGGAGCCCAAGTGGTGGGAGTTGTCAGAGCACGGAAATGTCGGATTGGGTGGTCGGCTGAGGTGGGATGTCACAAGAGACTCCCTGCAGAAGGGTCAAGTGCACAGCACCAAGGGGTAGGACTGAGTCCTGTAGGCAACAGAGACTCGGGTCCACGTGGAATGTAGCATCAGAGGCCCCGGTAGGAGGGGGTTCTGAACCCCACTGTGGATCTGTGACTGTAACATTCCATTCCATCTTCCATGGGTGTGCAAAACCTTCCTTGGTTGCAGCCAGTCTTTGTCTTGGCCTCTTGACGGGGTCCCCATCATGAGGACCTGTCTTAACAGAAGTTTGGGCCAGTGACTTGCCCAGGTGTCCAGTTCTAACCTCCCAGAGGTTTTTGAAATTACCCCTGCCCTTCTCAGTAGGATCCTCAGCATTGTTCTCGTGATGTTTTATGTTAGAACAATATTATTGCCTTCACATTACTCGAGGAAGTACTTTCAAAACGGGGGGTGGGGAGGAAGCACCTGGAACTCCCTCTGTGTGAGCGAGCCAGGTGATGATGGTGCGCTCAGGTGGTTCACGGAGCAAGCTGCAATGTCCTCTGACCTGCATTTCCATCCTCCCCTCCACCTTCTCGTGGTTCTCTTGGTCCTAGCAAACTTTTACTCATCCTTCAAAGCTGAGTTCACATGTGAGCTCCTCTGAAGCCTTTTCAGATTCCCTCTCCCAAGGAGAATTCACCTGTGCCTCCAGAATGCTCAGTTCAGAGCTCTGGTCAGTCTCTTGGCAGAACACTGTATTTTATCTGTTTATGGTTTTCTGTCCCCAACAAGATTGGGAGCACCTCAAGGGCAGGTTGGCGCTTCCCGCAGTGCAAGCCCACCTCCTCTCAGTGAGCTGCGGTGCCCCCTCACAGGTGTGCACGACTCCTCTCTCCCCCAAACTAAGGACTCTGCCCGGAATATGTCCCTGTAGGCCACTCTGCTGAGTTCAGAATCATGGGCACCCCCTGAGCCTGTCTTGCCACTGACTAACGCACTCTCTTCCTCTCACCTCCTAGGGCCGACGAAATTGAAATGATCATGACGGACCTTGAAAGAGCAAACCAGGTAGGACATGTGATGGCTTCAGGCATAAAATCACAATAGTGTAGCCATTTGTCATCTTGGAAAATGCTTCTCTCGAAGTTAGAAGACCAGTTATTCTCATATTTTTTACATACAACCATCAGTGTTGACACTTTTCCTGATGTCATATGAGAAGTACATGAAAAGTCCCAGGCAAAGTCTTCGATGTGACCCTAGCATCCCAGACATCCCCTAGTGAACGTCTTTGCAGAGTGACTACCATCTGTTCTTTTTCTTCATTCATCTCTCAAATACCCGCCTCCATTCATGTGGCAGCTATTATGCTGTAGAGTTTATACCAATGAGTTACGCTATCGAGAAGTCTTGATCACTCCCTTCTACTGGGTTGAAGCCACTTGTCTGGAGACGGCCTCCAGCTGACAGCCTTCTCGTGGCTGGCACTTAGCTGTCACAAGTGCCTTGTAGGAAGTACCCAACACAGTGTCTGACAAAAAATAGGTACGCAATATTGGGTGGCTCTAAATACTCAGCTGCCTAAAAAATTTGGCCACCTTATAGAACCTTCCTTCCCCAAAGACTCTGTAGAACACTAAAACATTTTGCTTCAGCAAATGGTACTGCTCTTTTGGAAAGAAAGAGGCTTCCCTATTTATTTTCTCTGTGGGGAGAAGCAGCCAACGCCGTGATGCCTCTGGGCCCCAGAAAGCCTCAGGTTTGGCCTCCCCCTGCTCAGTTTTACAGCAGGGCAGCCGCAAGCACAGGAGAGCTTAGTGGTGTGCCTCAGTGGCCCGGGCCAGCACAGCCCCCCACAGAATGAAAGTCCTTCCTGGATCCGTGGTCTCCACTTCCCACCTTTGTAAAGTTCCACAAGGTACCTGCCCCTTGGCTGGAATTGCTTACCCAGACCCTGGCAAATGCAGGGAAGAGTGTCCTTATCTATCCTTTGACCAGTAAAATCATCCTCAAGTCTATTGGAATGTGAAAGTCAGTTCATGCATAAGAATGACCCCAGGAGATATGTGGATTTCTTTTTTCTTTAAAGAAAACTTTGTGGGTTCTATATCATATACCCAGACTCACCACTGAGGATCCTGGGCCTGACCCATAGGCCGCACTCAGGAGGGATACATGGAGTGAAGCACCTGAGGTAGCAGCATCACATATTAGTTATCCTGGTAATAGGAGAAAAAGCTGCCAATTCTTGAGTGACTTATTTTGTGCCTAACTCTGTTCTAAGCACCTCACATGAACGGAGTCACTTACACCTCAGCGCAGCCCAAGGTCCATGGCTGGTCCTCACAGGGTCAGAACTGGAGCCTGTGCTGTGCACCAGCACACTGGGGAGCAGGCCTCAGAACAAGGGCCCCGTTCGCCTTTCTTTCAAACTGTCTTGTTTCCCAAGTGCACTCATCCACATGGCCTCCTTGCTGTAAAAGCGCTGCTTCTGCTTCACCTCACAAAGGTGCTTAAGTATTTATTTACCTTTACTTACTAAACTAATTTACTTTGGCCCTCTTTGTTTTCACTCAGCTCTGCTCACTTTGCAGAAGCCTTAACTCAAAAGTAGCTATTGGAAGGAGTTAACCTCCTCTGTCACAGGATTGCCATTTGCATTTCTCAAATTTCCACCCATCCACTCTCCCCCAGGCCAGTCAAGGAAGTGCCTCCTCTTTTGATGGCAGTTTGGGGTAAGCTTGATTGGTTAAGCAGATAACCTTATTCCTTGAACATCAAATACAGTCCCTGAGGCCGCACCCAGGTAATGAAGAAGTTTGGCAGAGTTAATGCAATTTTCAAGGGCTGAGGCCACTTGGGTGGATCTCTATCCTACAAGACACCAGGCAGGACCATGGAGAAAGGTATCACCTCCAAGTGACATTTTGAAGACATGCTAAGGGAAGTAAGCCAGTCGCAAAAAGGCAAACACTGTATGATTCCCACTTATATGAGGTCCCTAGAGTAGTCACACTTAGAGAGTAGGGTGCTGTGCGCCAGGGGGTGGGGAAGCAGGGTGGGCAGCTGTTTAATGGGTATAGAGTTTCTCTTTGGCAAAATGAAAAGGTTATGGAGATTAGTTGCCCAACAATGTAAATGATCTTAACACTACTGAACTGTGTGCTTAAAAATGGTTAAGATGATCAATTTTATGTTATATATGATGCCATAATTAAAATTTTAAGCAAGAGATGGGAAGGAAGGGAATGATAACTAGTACTTCCTTTGCAAGATTGTTTTGAGGATTAAAGGTAAAATGCATGGGTGAGAAGTAGATGCTTACATAAATATTCATTCTATAGCTTTTAAAGAAGCAAAGATTTGGTGGGAAAATTATAAAGCCCTGTCCTATGGGAATGCTAGCATGGTGGGGCGGGGAAAGTCCTAGGAGAGTTCTGACCAGCCACCAGGGGGAGTTAATAATCTGATGTGGCTGCCAAAAGAAATTACTGCAACCTCAGGCTACATTAGTAGAAATAGTTTCTAGAATGAAGGAGGTGGTGATTCTATACCATCTGCAACAAGTGGTCCATCCCCCAGGAATCCTGGAACACTGTAAAGAAGACAAGTACCTGGAGTTCATTCTCCTGAATCACCTCCATGGCCAGAACACGGAAAGAATCCTAACACAAAAGACACTGGGGTTTGGAGATACTCCTAATCTTTGGGGAGCAGGGAAAGAAGGCAGAGGTACTTGACACCAAGCAACAGAGACATAACTTCAGGAATGTGGGATGTTAAAAGATTAAACAAGGGAAGGCTTAGGATAGGGACATGGTGAATTCTTGCTTGTAGCTCCGCAGGGCTGGTCAGGAGAAGGGTCTGGCTTTTTCATGGCTGAGTCCTGAGGCTGGTAGAAGGGATGCTCGCTCTCAGTTCTGGCTCTCCAGAGGGGCCTAGAGCTACCCCCAAAGGGAGTGAGCCCTGGGAGCTGTGCAGGCACGTGCTGAGCGACCCTTGCTAGGAGTGTGAGACAGGGCATCATCATTCACAGAGTGAACAGAAAAACGGTGATTGAACTAGGTGGTTCAGTGGGTCAACAAGGATGACTCACAAGGAGAAAAACTTCCCGGGTGTACATGAGGACATTACATGTTCCTGGCAGGCAAGGAGGGACATAATGAGCTCTAGGTGTTGTAGATCATTCCATAAAGCTAAGAGGTTCAGAGAGGGAGAGGGGGCCCAGAGGAAGGGGTCCAGCTAGATGTGTGGAGGACACATCCTGAGAACAGTGGAGAATCGGGTGGAAGTAAGATATCATATGAGTTATAGAAGAATCACTCTGGCTAAACACTGGAGAATGTGTGGGAGTAGAAGGACTGGAAGCCAGGGGAGCAGTAAGCAACTGTTGTAATAGATCAGGGCCAAGAAGACTCGGGCATGAAATGAGGTGATCCCAGGGGAGATGAGGCGGAGGTGGGCTGGGCAGGAGGAGGGGTACTGAGGGCTGCACTCCAGTGGGCACAGCCAGACATCTGGTTCAGCCGCCTTTCCCATCAGGGGAAATCCCCAGGAGGAGCAATTTACTAGTTCATTGGCATATAACATTATTTTTGCACAAGGTTTATAACAGTGTTCTACTGAGACCCAAAGCTCTATTTTGTTGCTAAAGTACATGTGTTTCTGTTGTGGGGAAGTGGAAGAGTGATCCGCCACCGGCCGTCAGTGAAGTCCAGGTTTCATTTACACCTGTTTGTTAAATGTCAAGGCACTTGCATTAATACGGCCTTAATTGGTGACAGTAAAGGCTCAGAACTTTTGAGGCTTCATAGGAAATAAGAAACCACAACTGTGCACTCTACAACCACATGAAACCTGTCTGTGGGCCTAGTAAGTCAGTCAGCTGTTCAGGCTGCGCCTTCCCCACCCCTCCACTCAGAGCAGTTCTGATTTGAGTTGCCAGGGCTGAAAACCACAGCAGGGGCAAGAGGAAGTTCTTTCAGTGAGTGGTCCTCCCCCTGCCAACCTGCCTGAGTCTTTAGGAAGAGGCTACCCTCGCAGAAGACCCTTCAGGTTGAGGTTAAGTTAGAAACCACAGTTTAACTTCACTGAGGAGGAGTCAAATTGGAGGCAAATGCAAAAAGAGAAAAGAACTCAGAGCAAGACGTGGCATTTTCTTTGACCAAGGTTTCTGTGTTCTGACGGCAAGAATGTTTGGGTTTAAATCCCAGATCTCCCATTTCCCACCCAGGTGGCCTTGAGCAAAGCTTCCATCTCCCAGCACCTGCTTCCCCACCTGTAGACTGAGGCAATAATTTACGCCTCAAGGAGAGCCCCTGTCCATCAAACGCGCACTCGTACAGCAAGTATTTCTGAGCACCTGCTGTGAGCAGGCCCTGTGGAGATGCAGCCTATCCCTGTGGGCACCCACTACGTGCTGAGGAGGGGCTGGTTTCACCTGGGCTCCTTACCAGTCAGAGAGCCATGTCTGTGTCTGTGGTCGCTCCTTGGGTCTCCTGGGAACCTTGGTTTCCCTGTGTAATAAACTGGGCTCCCAGCCCATGTCAGGTGGGCCGGTAAGGCCTGGAGAGAGGCCCCGGGGCCACCCCTTGTGGCAGGAGGAGATAGGGAAGTTCGCTCTTCTGGCTTTCCTGAAATCGTGATTCAGGCTGTGACAAGGCAGGTTTCCATGGGTGGCCTTGGTGTGGTTCCAGCTTTCAGCTTGGCTGACCTGAGAAGGAAATCCAAACCGATACGCAGAGTCCCAGAAACACAGGCAGAAGGTCTAAACGGGGACTTTGGTCAACAGTGCAGAGCCAGTTTGGGATGCATGGCAATACATTTCTTGGTAGAGATTTTGACCTCCCTCCTGTAGAATCACTGAAATGAGGTCACCTCGAGGCTCTAGCTCCTTCTTTGCTTCCCCTGTGCTTCAAGCATTTACCCTTCTCAGAAAAGTAAAGAAAGTAAGCAACAACCAGCAAAAGAAGTCTCCCAGGAGAGCAGCTCAGGCTTGGCAAGGGGTCTCATCGTAGGGGTGGCCACTAAATCACACCCAGGGCTGTTGCCAGCTGCCTGTGGGAGCCCTGGCTTTGGTCCCCAGGCTCTGTCTCTGGAGAGACCCCATCAGTGGAAACAGAATTGAGTGCCTGTCTCATGGCGGCCGCATCTCTGTGTCTGAGGTTCCACATCAGAAAAGAGCACCCAAGTTTTCTGCCTCCTGTCACTGATTTCAGTTCTAGAAACAACCAGACATCATCTGGTTGGACTGTGGACATCAGGAAGATGGGAGACCCTGGAAACAAGTGACGTCATGGTACTGGCCCAGCACAGTACCCCTTTATTTCTGCCTCAGCTGCCAGAGATGGGGCTAAAGATGCAACTGCAGAATCCCCCTTTTTCAGCCACTCTCAGTCCTGTTTTTATTTTTTTAGTTGTTCAGCTTTGTCCATGTTTAGCGGCATAACCACCTCAACTCATTTTATTTTGTTTTTTATGAACTCGGGGTATAAAGCTGAAATAAATAATATAAATCCTGAACAATCAAAACGTTGCACTGGAATAACCAAGTCAAGCCAAATGTGATACACAGATAGGTCACAGAGTTACTCTGTTCCTGGACTTAGAAACTGAATAATGTATGATAGCTCTGGAGAAATTAAGTGAACCTAAGGTGAAATCATCAACTGCTAGATTCCTTCTTCTGTGAGCCATTGACCTTTGATGAGACAGCACTCTGCCCTGAGCAGCAGAGTGCCTGCATGAGATCCTGTCGTGAACCCACTGCCCAGGCCTGCCCGAGCCCTGATCGTTCTGGAGCTCTCGGAGCCAGTATTTCCAGGCAGGGCGGTTGGTGATGCTGCTGCCTGGCTGCTACCAGAACAGTTTCTCCACCAGACTAAGAAATATTTTTCCTTGTCAGCGAGACTAGAACTATGTCAAAATGCACCTTATTCCTGGCAGAGTCCAAGGGTTTAGCTAACTAGAAAGCAGAGTAAACTTTTCAGTAATGTGACATGTTTATCAACACATTTGGATATAAGCTGGGGGGAATCTTTTTCACTGAAGAAGAGACTTTCCTGCAGTTAGCATGGACCAGAAATCACCCCTGCCATCTTCGCCACACCAGTCACACCGCCGCCTTTCCTGACGGGTGCTTCTAATCTAGATTCTGTTTGGAGCAGAGAGGGTGGGAAGCGACTGCCTGAGCACAGACAGGCCTGGCCAGGCGCCGTGTGAATTAGATTGAGTGCAATTCCAAGAGCTCCTGGAGAAGCAGGGCAAGCGGCCACCAGCACCACCCTGGGCAGAAGTAACTGCTCTTAGAAATATCCTAATTTGTCTGTATGCAGAGCAGATAGATTTGTGCTGCCGTCACAGGATTGCTTAAAGCTGCCAAGCCCGTTCTTGTATAACTAGATTGATCAGCAAGCACTGGGGCAAGCTAACTTTTTGTTTCTATTTTTCAGTCTTTCTTAGCGATTAGTAGACACATAGCGTCACTCCACAAAATTAGAACACACATGAAATAGCCCTGCGCAGCCAGGCTTTTCTCATTAATCTTTTCTATTAGCAGAATGTAAGTCTGGTAGAAAGAATAAGCGCAATACTTCTCATCCTGCGTGCCCCATGTCAGTTCAGCTACCGTTTCTCACCCATCTTAAAGTTTCATCTCAATTATAATTGTAAAATCAAGACCAGCCCATTAGTTAAATGCTTCTGAATGAGTCCTGTGTACAATACACTTCTGCAGATGTTAATCCTTGCGGGGTCCCTGAGAAGGAGGCAGTTTTCCCATTTTAGAGGTGGGAATCTGGAAGTTTAGCGAGCTTAGTTAGGTAACTTGCCCTGGTCCCTCTGTCCCAGATGCCTAATCTGCCCTCCACACCACAGTGCCCTCTCGGGTGGCAAGCACTGGGGTGACCAATTCTCACTATTCAATGGGAAATCCTCATTTGCTATCCAGCGGCATTGGTTTCCTTGGCCAGGAATTACATGCAAATAATAGAAATGTCTACTCATTGCTCTTTGGACTCCCTTCCAGCAGCAGCTTCACTCCTCCCCATTCCCCAGTGGGCCTGGGCCACCCTCCCACCTTTGGTCCCAAATCAGCCAGCCAGCTGGAATGCCAGCATCAGCATTAGAAAACTTTGTCAAGGGAAGGGTTAAATATGTTGAAATAAGCCTGGCCCTCACAAAAGAAGTGGCATTTACACCCTGTACATTTATGGAAATACTTGCCGAAGGAAAACAACCACAACATTGTGCATGTTTTTAGGAAGAGAATGGCCAGAGTGTCTTTAATTCACTGTTTACCCGTGAGAATTACTCCCAGGAGTAATCCTGCAATAAAATCTTCTTGGTCTATGAGAATAGGAAGAAATTGAATCAAAAGACTCTATTTCCACTTGTATTTATTCAGTCTGGGAAATTCAGTGGGCCGAAGCATTACTATCAGCAGGGGATTCCTTGCTCCTAGCGTTAAATTACTGTCATAATCGCTCAATTATTTCTTCCTTGTACTGTTTAAAATAAAAATCCATCACATTCTATGTTTTTTTCTAGCATTTATTAGGTTGAGTGTTTAGGAAAATCAATTATAGTCAGTCAGGCATGAATTGATGAATGTTCTTGTAATAATTGTCAGTTGTTGAACTGAATGTACTTTCTCTTCTCACCCTTTTCATTTCCTTCAGAGGGCAGAGGTGGCTCAGAGAGAGGCGGAGACCTTAAGGGAGCAGCTCTCTTCAGCCAACCACTCTCTCCAGCTGGCCTCACAGATCCAGAAGGCGCCGGATGTGGTGGGTAGTTGGGCCCTATGGCGACTCCCTGCCTGGCATCTGTACCTCCATGTTACAGCGACTTTCTTCTTTTGCTTTTTAACGTCCCTTTCTGGAATATTATAAGCAGCACTACTGTCCTGGTGGGGAACACTTTTACCAGTTTGGGAATGGAACTTGCTAGTCAGAGGAAGAGTTTTACTAATTATGCATTGATGCTCTGTGGTCAGCGCGATGCCTGCCCGGTGTGGAGGTAGAGACAGATCTCATCACCAAAGGGAGCATCTTCCCAGCTAGGCCTATGGGGTACCAACTGGCAGCGAGGTAGAGATCTGAAACTGGAGCTTCACCAGAATCACACAGGGGAACTGGAGGTTTAGCCTTCTCCTGAATTGTGTCGTTCAGAGTGAGAAAAATCTTGTGATAAGCTTGGAAAGCCAAAGAGGTAATAAGGTATCGTTCCCCTGTGAGTCTGTGTAATCGCCAGAATCTTGCCTGAAGTATAGGCGTTCTTGGAGCCATACATACCAGTCCTTTGGCCTCTTGATTTTTCTAATATTAATAAAAATTGTTCTTAGTTGGTACTTTCCCATCTTGATCGAGGCGGCTTAGAACCATCGGATTCCGGACTCTTTCCTTCCATGCTTTGCAGGTATATGGAGCAGCGTATAATTAAGATCTGGGTATTGGAACCACACCCCTGGCCTTAGACCGAGCTTTGCAGTTGTCAGCTCTGTGACTTTGAGCAAGTCACTTAACCTCCCTGAGTCTGTTTCATCATCCGCTAAATGGGTTTTTACAAGGGTTTCAGAAATCTGAGCAAAGCACTGAGAGCAAGACCAAACTCATAATAAGCCCTCAGGAAACCGTGCAATTACTGTTATTGTGGTTGGCATCATCATCTCTGATTCAGGAGCCCTGGTTTTGAAGCTCAGTTTCATCACCTTTTTTACGCATCTGGGGAGTTAAACTTCGTAGGCCTCGGTTTTCTTGCGTGTAGAGTGACGGGTAAGTCATCCTGAGGTCCCTTCAGGTCTGACAGGCAATAGTGAGTGCACTGAACTCATTGGGGGGGGGGGGGGGGGTGTTTAACATAACAAAGAGTTACAGAGTCTTTGCTGTATGCCAGGACTCATTGTGGACCCTGGGAGAGCAAGGAGGAATGAGCCAGCCAGGCCCTTCCCAGAGACAGCAGTCAAATCAGGGGAACTCACTGTTGTTGTAAGTTCATGTGTCAGTCTGGCAGCCATTACTCCACCTAACCCATATAGTGGGGCGTTGTTATTTCTTTATATAGATGGAGAAACAAAAGCTCCATGAATTTAAACCCCCTGCTCCAGAGCACTTGGCCCCAGTGGCCAAGCCAGGACTTGACTAAGGGCCCTCGGGCCACCTTAGAGTGGAACTTTTAAGTTATTCCTCAGGAATGAATCTAAAGCAAAGTTTTGGCGCCATGACCCCTTTTAAGAATTTTTTGTTGTTGTTGTTTTCTTCCTTTACATTAACATTAAATAAAACATGATTTAAGTATCTCGGGATATAGAGAAAAGTTTTCCAATTTAAGAACCATTGTGTCCTTAATATTTCATGGACTGTGGGTTTAATTTTACCTGCAATGGCCCCTCAGTTCTGTCAGCATGCCCCCCTCCAAGTGTACCTGTGCTAGGCCCAGCGTCACAGCAGGAGGAAGCCCTAGAGGACAGAGTCAGTACGGCCAGCTCCCCTGGCCTTTGTGGTGGATCCTGGTCCTCCAGAGAAAGTCATCCATTCTCATATGTCCACACAGGGCTCCTGAGCTAAATGCTTCGATTGAAAGGATTTCTGGCACCATCCTGGACTGTGGCAACCAAAACATTTCAGAAAGAAATGAATGTTTTTTGCAGGTAGAGCAAGTTGCAGGTCCTAGAGGTGCTTAAATACTTCATCATTGGCTAAGCGCAGTGTTTACATGGCACAGGCTCTGTCTTCCAGGAGCGGCCCTGCCAGGGATCCCTCGGGGGTGCGTTCCCACAGTCCATCCGCCCTAGCCAGCCAGGGAGCAAGCACAGGAAACTGGGCCAGCAGGAGAATGGCTGTTGGTCTTGGCTGGCAGCACTCGAAAGAGAAACAGACTCCATAGATCTAGCAAAGGCCAAAACGGATCTGTTAGATGTCTTACCGGAATCGCGGGTTTGGGAAGGTGAGCTGCCCCTCAGAGAGTGCCTGCTCTGCGTTAGGGGCTGTGCTGGGGCTTTATGGGGTTACTTCATTTCAGCCTCATGACGCCGTGGTCACTAGAGGCAGGATTTAGTATCCTCATTTTACAGGGAAGGGAACTGAGAGGCCCAGAGGAGTGAAGTAATTTGCCAAAGGTCACACAGCTAGAAAATGATCAAGCTGGCATTTGATCCCAAGTTTGTCCTACTCCAAAGTCCACCTTTCTCCGTACATCCAGCTATCCCGCCTTCATGTGCATTAAATGGAACAGGATACATGCAGGTCCTTTGTCAGGTATTTACAAACAAGTATTATTAATTCAGGGCTCTGGTGTACCACACCAGGCCACTTTCTTGGACCTAAACAAACAGTGGTATTAGAAAAGACACCTGAGGGTTGACTTTAGCTCAAGCGGTTACTTCGTCATGGCAGCCACTAGAAAAGACACCTGTCTGTCTCTCAGGTGAACATATCAGGTGCATATACTGCATAGATCGGGCTACTTCAGCTACTAGGTGTTGGGAGAAATAGAGGTGGCAGTAAGAGAGAGGTGTAGAGTTGGGGTTCCCATTCACTCATCTTTCCCCTGCTGGAGTCAATAAAACTGAGATCAGCCTTGCTTTCCTGTACCTGTCTCACAGGCTGGGGTCCTAGGCACACCATCGTTTCACACTTAGGTTTTCCTCACATTGAGTCGTGATTCTGCATCTCATTCATATTTAATATGAAAATGGCTCCAGGATAAAAGAGATGATTATCTGGCTTATTTCAGCCTTGATGTTCTAATCTCAATAGGAGGACTCACTAGACAGTTACACAACTTGTGATGTTTCACACAAGCAGGTTGGGAGGGAGGGAAGGCGAATGGGTTCAAAGGGACAAAATATAATGGGTTACTACCTCAGTAACTTCCCTTTTTATGTTCATCTTTCCCTTTGGAAACACACCCCTACTTCCATCATCATCATAAGCCCTTCCTTTTTTAGGTACAATGCTTTGGACTCTACGAAGCATTTCCAGGTGTTCTCTCCTGGCTCCTGAGCCATCCAAGCCCCCGCCCCCGTGAGGAATGTAGGATACCCTTACAGGCCTTGCAAACCTGGAGTCACGGGCTGTCCCTGCTGGGACAAACGCTCAGGATCTCGTTCTGGTGCCCACAGGGGCCTCTTTTACACTTGAAAAAAAGTCAGTCCCTTTCTTTAGGGGCTATAGACCGAGCCAGGGCCCTGACCCCGAACACCAATCAGAATCACCGGGAAGCCCGGGCCCTACTCCAGACCCCCTGAACCATGGTTTCCAGGGTGGAACCCGGGACCCATATATTTTCTAAGCCCCCAAGTGATTCAGGTGCAGCGGAGTGGAGGCCTGGGTGGACACGAGGGAGCCCATTGTCCTGGCCCTCTTTAAATCCGTGGCTGCTTCACCTCTGAAGTAATAATCATCTCAACAGCATGCGAGCTGCCTGACAGTGACCTCCCGTCATCCATAAAGGCCTTCCCCTCTCCTCTCAGCACCTGTTCACCCTGTCATACAACTTCTTTCTAGCTATGCCCTCAGAGAGAAGCCCCAGCATTATCACCCAGGCACAGGGCTCTCCCTCCCCCTGCAGCCTGTGCGTCATTTCCTGGGTCCCTGTTGGGTCACAAGTTTCCCTTGTGTGTTTTCACAGGGGCAAGGATACCCTCATGTGTGCGAGGGGAGTGAGCCACATTTGAGCTTAGAGTGATCTTTTCTATCTTATTTCAAAGGCCTTACTCTTTTGGGGGTATATTACCTCACCTCATTTAGTTTATGCAAAACACGAATGATTTTTGCCAAGTTATAAATGAAGAATCTGTGGCCCAGGTTCCTGAGTTAGCTGACGTGCGCAAGGTCACTTAGTCAGCTTGTGGCCAGGCCACAGTGAGCCTCAGGAGGTGAGCAGACGGCCCTCGGGGCTGCCTGTCCTCAGCCCCCATCCTGGGCCCACAGCACTGAGAGCTGCTGTTTTGACATATACAGGGTGGGGCTAAAGTGGGTTTACAGTTGTTTATATGGAAAATAATACAATAATTAATAAATAATAATGCAAGAGTAAACTGTTTCACGTACAGCTATACACTACGTTTGCCCCCCACACCTCCTTATTATTTGAACCACTTGTCCCTGATACAGCAACTTGCACCTGGCTGTTTAAAACCCCAGGTGACCTTTTAGCTTGCTTTACAGACTCTTTCTCTAAGGGCACTTGAAACAGTTTTTATGGCTGGCATGCCTCAGGTTGGAAAACTGATAAGTTAAATTAGATAACATGGCTCATCCTATACCCGCCTTGAGGCCAACCTCTCCAAATATCACAGCTATTGTGTCCCCTCACTGCTCCCTCCGGCCTGCCGCCTCGCGTCCACGCGCCTCTGGCCACCCTTCTGGTCATTCACCGTCTGCCGCCGGCATGCCCACTCCTTTTATGAGCTGGCCTCTCAGCATCGGTATCTCCTTGTGCCCTGCTCCCTGTCCTGTCAGCCTCTGTGCCCACCTGTGATGCCCCACCCTGAGATGGAGCCCCTCTCCCTTCTGACGAGAGACCGGTAGCCTTGTCCCGCTGTGCCCCTCTCCCCCTCATAGCCCTCCTCTGCCTGCCCTCTCGCTGCCGTCTCAGGCGCACCCCCCGGCGCTGCAGGAGGGCTTGTCTTAGGCCCCGACCCTGATCCACCCAGTGTTATCTAAGTTGTGCTTCTCATACTCTCTGTGGAAAAGGACAGTTCTGTTTTGATTTTTAAACTTCCAATCTGTCATATACTAATGATTTTATAAAAGACAATAAAAATGTCACAGCAATGTCGAATTGCTATAAAAGTTTCTAAACACTCTCAATTCCTGTACTTGTCTGTGTGCCGGCAGCAGTTTGTGAATTGGCACCGATCCTTGGAGCACACTCTGAACTGAGCTGGGCAGGACAGCATGTGCCTTTCAAATAAGCTTGCGGGAAGGTGCTCATGGGGGCCCCAGGGTCATGTGCAGATCTTCCAGAAGGCAGGAGAAATGAAATCTTATTTTACTATATTACACAAATCAAAGATAAGAAAGGAGTCACTTCTTTGCACAGAAAAGGCTTTAGTTTCCTAAGGAGGGAGATGTGAAAAATTTATCTGAGTGGCTGTCCCCAAATATAAAAAACCTGTGACAAGAATGTCATGCATGGAGTGGCATGGCTGCCTCTGCCACCTGGGCTTGCAGCTCCCATTTTCCACCCTGGTGTAGGCAAGATCAAGATGGGAAGCGGAGGACTGTGAGGCGCGTGGCATTCCACCCTGCAGTGTGAGCTGCCCCAGACACCTGGGCAGTTCTACCTTCCTGGTCCCCGTCAGGCATGCCCAAAAGTGCAGCTGCCCCACAGAAAAGTTTCCAGCATTCTCTCAGGAGCCATTACTACTTTCAGAGCTTGAAAAAAGTACTGCTTTACCCCTACTGGTGGCTCAGTGGGGTGGGTGTTGTCCCGCAAACTGAAAGGTCACTGGTTCAATTCCCAGTCAGGGCACATGCCCAGGATACAGGCAAGGTCCCTGGTTGGGGATGTACAAGAGGCAACCATTGATGTTTCTCTCGATTGTTGATGTTTCTCTCCCTCTCTTTCTCCCTCCCTTCCCCTCCTTCTAAAAATAAATAAAATCTTTCCTAAATGCTACTTTAGTCCTTGGGAAGTGGAATTACAGATTTAACTTTTTCTATTTTTTTTCTTACACCTTTTCCCTGTTTTGCCTATTTTCCACTATGAACAAATTAGGGAAGGGGACAAGTTTTTTAAAAATATCAATCATCATATGACTTTCTAAGCAGAGGGACTCCAAATGTGCGACTTCCGCATTTTTTAACTCTTTTTAAAACGCTGACTGTGAAAATCAATTTGTCAAATAACATAGCATCTAGATAGCTTAGTAATGATCCAAAAGGACATTAAATCCCATCTGGTGGGAGAGGATCTGAACACTTTGGAACATTCCAGAGCCTTCCCATTTGTCGTTCCCCTGGCCGGGGCACTCAACCCGCAGCTACCAGCAGGGCCCTTACTGTCGCCTCCTTCAGATCTCTGCTCAGATATCACTGTCTCATGAGGCTTTTCCTGACCATCTTATTAAAAACCCCAATTGCCTCTCAGGTCCGACCCCATGACCCCTCCTTGCTTCAGCCTTTCTCTGGTGCTTATCACCACCCAACACACTTTACGCTACTAATAAATGCATTAGTGCTTCTCACCTACCCACCCATCCCACTGACTAGAAACCCTGTGAAAAAAGGGACTTGCACCCTTTTGTCCACTGCTGCGTGCCTGGTACTCATTAATGCTTATTGAATGGACAAATTGCGATGGCAGCTCACCGTGCAGGTGAAATAGTGGTGTGGGGAGGGTAGTCAGCTGGCCCTGTCCAAGCAGAGGCATGAAGTAATGTCTTAGCATGAGCTCACCATCACATCCTCCCATCTGCCCGTTTTTGCCATGGTTGCCCACACACCTAACCCTGAGCACCTGCCTAAAGCTGGTGCAGTTTTGTCATTTCCTTTCTCCTTCCTAGGAGCAGGCCATAGAGGTGCTGACCCGCTCCAGCCTGGAAGTTGAGTTGGCTGCCAAAGAGCGGGAGATCGCCCAACTGGTGGAGGATGTGCAGAGACTCCAGGCCAGCCTCACCAAGCTGCGGGAGAACTCGGCCAGCCAGATCTCCCAGCTCGAGCAGCAGCTAAGTGCCAAGAACAGCACGCTCAAAGTAAGGGCGCCGTGGGGGCTGGCGGGCAAGGGCGGGCTGGATGCACACATGCACACCATTTGTCTTCTTCCACATGCGGCCCTGGAGGGAGCCCAGCTTGACCTGCACAGTGGTTCTGGCTCCCCACCGACACCCTGAGCTCTTCCGTGGATTGCTTCTGCCCTCCAGCATCTGGGATACCTGATGGGTGTACTAACCGTGGCAGAAGGCCTTGTCTGGCCCTGCCTTGGCCCTTCTACAAGATGTTCTCATTTTTGTGGTCTGCAAAGATAATGGTTAAAATTTGATCTCTTTTAAAAGCAAAAGCAACTGCTTAGGTATGTCTCAGTCTGAGCTCCCACCACCAACGGAAGTTTTTTCCTCCAGTGAGAACGATATAACAAGGCATAAGCCTCCCCTGACCACCTCAGTCAGAAGCATGGGTGAATAAGCTCCACCAGAGTTCTTTTTTGGAGGGCATCACAACTGGAATTGTCAATATGTCAACCTTGAACCTATGTGAAGTAGCTAGAAGCAGTGTCCTGGAGCCCAAGGCAGGGAGGCGGACTTTGAACCCGCTCCTCCATCCCACCAGCTCCAGCCTGGGCAGCACCTGCCTCTTGACTGACCACTTTTTGCATGCAGCACTTGGTGGACATCCCCATCCTCAGCGCCCGCCCACCCACTCGCAGCTCTGCTTCACCACCTGAGAACTGGAGCTGACTTTGTGGACCTGGAGATTCTGTGTGCTTCTTGGGTTATAGTGGTTGTCAAGTCCGCAGGCCGTCTGTATAAACATGCCACTAGAGGAGGCTGCCAGCGGGAAGACCCAGCACACTGCCGTCCAGGCTCTCCTTGTGCCCTAATGAAATGAAAGCCAGAGGTGCTCCAAAGCCTGTGGGCCATGCTTTCAAGCTGCAGGGCCACTTTTTGTCCCTCTGGCCTGGGATGTACTGCAGGCAGCCAAAAAGCTCATGGTTGGTCCCTTTCCTCCCAGATGGAACCAGAGTAGCCCAGACAAAAGCTAGATCCTCCTGGGGTTTCTCACAACCTTGTATCCCAAATTCAGAACCTGAAACCTTTTTCATTATATTAAAATATATGTCTATATTATCTAGTATATTTTCAATCAGTTGAAGTTATTAGTATAATTTGAAGATAGTCCTGGGACCCTAGCTTCATAGCATGTCAGAGCCAGAAGGGCCTCCTCGGAATACCTTATTTGACCTTGAAGAGATGGGACCAGTAAAGGCTCGGGGTCCCTGCTCTCAGGCCAGATGTTGCCCTGCTCTGCCCTCCCCGCCCCAGCCCTTATAAGCGATGCCCATTTGGGCCTCCTGCCCCCACTCAGCGTCCATTTGTGGGGTATGTGAGTGAATGAGTGACTGACTGCCAAGTATAGTCATTGTATACGAAATAGGGTGGATCAAGATTAGTTATAAAAATGCTAAGACAACTTTTTCTTATATAAAGTAGTTCTAGAATGTAGTTAGGTTCATTTTGATTTTTTTTTTTTTTTTCATTGAAATTTTTCTGCTCAACCTATGACCATGTTTCTGACCCAGAGCTAGGTGAGTTCCCAGCAAGTCTGTCCTCATGGCAGCTCGATGGCCCAGCCTCGCTGGCACTGGTGGAAGCCACAGCTGTCCCTCGCTAGTTTCTCCTTTTCCCCTTTGGGGTGGGTTTCCTCCACTGCCCGAGAAACTGCCAGGTGCCTGGGCCCCTCGAGGAAGACAGTCCTGTGACTTTGGGAAGATGGTTGAGGCCTGGTCACATTTGTCATCAGTCATGGCATTTATTTCTTCAGTGTGTCTTTTTCTCTCATCAGCCTACCCAGCAAGTACCAGTACTCATTTTTTATTTCTAGATTAAATCTAATTCTCTCATGTTACAGCCATTTCTGACCCTAGCACTGGCATTATTATTAGATAATTTGCCTTTCTCTCCTTTGTTACCATTAAAGTGTTTGACTCTAATACATCCTGCATTTGACTACATAAGAGGGAGGCTGTAGACCTTACATTTTTTATTATAGAGCAATTTCTTCTAAATCAGTTAAGGTTTTAATGTTTGCCTTCACAAAAAAATGAAACGCACTTTTCACAAATTAATGTTCTTTATCCGTATCTTGGGGGAATTCTTTAATACTGTGCAGTTAATGAAACAATTCAGCAATACTTCTTCCAAAATTATTGCTCCCTTATCTTCATCTGATCTAATAATCAAAACATATCCTCTAGTAACAAGACTTCTCTGATTTTAATTATCTTAACCCCTTGTCGCCAGGAGTGAAGCTCTCCCCAGTATCGAACCCACACACAAAAGGCATTAGCCTTCCCCAAAGGAATAAGGTTAATTGAATGAGATACCTTCCCAGGGCTTTTTTCCCCTCTAATGCGTATAATTTATAGTCTCACATCTAAACGCAGCAGCAATACAATTATTAGGAAAATATTTTATGAATGAGACCTGTCAAATTGACAACCTGATGCTTTTGCAACTGGATCTCTGACCCAGTGGTGGTGGCCACACAGAAGCAGCAGCGAGCCGTACCTGAACTTCCTGGGGCCTCTCTTCCTGCTCCTCCCTCCCCCACCCCTTCCTCGCCTTCCCCCCAGCCCTTTCTATCTTGGACCATGTTGTCCGGCTGCAGGGACTTGGACATACTGTGCAGGGCTCAAATCAGGATCTGCGTGAGGCTGCTGCAGCTTCTCTCTATCTCACCATCTTGGAATTGTGGGTTCTTTGCCTGAGCATTAACAGTGGTCTCTGAGACGAATGCTAATGACAGTCACCCATGGGCTGTGGGAGGTTTGTTCCACAATGGCAGAAGGTGTAACGGGCAGAACCTTGAGATTATTGAGAGTCTTGAGCTTATAAGGGTTTCTCCATGAGCACACTATGGTGATGCACTCTGTAATGGAATGGACTTGGGGACTTATTTGTCGCCTTCTCTAACACCTTGGAACGCTCCATCTCTTTGCGATGGATAATTCTTCCCTTCTGTTAGACAACTGATTTGTAATTTTTTAGAGTAAATTGATGGTCAGGTGTTTCCCAGTCTTTCTTTCCCCATGTTCCACCTTGTCAAGCCAAGTTCACTGTGTTCCATCACTTTCCACATACAGTAGTGCATCCTCTAACCTTTGAATAGTCAGGGAAACAGACTCAGAAGGGGGAGATGTTTCGTCCTGCCCATCCTGACAAGTGCTCAAGCGCAGCACCACTTGTAAGGGATAATTCTATATTCTTAATTAATGAAAAACCAACTGCCTTTACCAGGCTGCTATTTTTGATAACTCCATATTCTGTAGTCTTCTGTTGGGACACTTTAAAACAGAGGCAGTATAATTAAGCAGTCACCTGCATTATGCTCACTACAGCACAGAAAGCAATACTTTTAAAAGCTTCAATTTAAAATGATACTTGTAAGAAAAGTTAGCTAAAAGGAGGCCAGTCTCCCATAGGGAGAAATTACATTTGTTGGCAGGTGCATTAGAATTACCTGCAGGACTGTCTCCAAACTGTGCATGGCTGCCCAACCCTCTGCACCCCTTACCCCACCTCCTGAGGTGCTGATAGGTTCTTCTGTGCCACTGGAGAGCATGATGGGTCCCTTAGGAGGTTAGGACAGGAAAAAAGACTAACGACTGCTTCTCTAGAGTCATTCGGTGACTATACTTCTAGATGCTGCTACTTTGGTTACATAAGTCTCCTCACCAGGCAGTGTGTTTACTCTGCACAGAGGCTGTCCTCGATAATGTTTTAACAAGCATCTTATCGACGTCTCAGTGTATAAAGCTCTAACATCCACATCCCATTTGACACTCGCTGGGTGAGCAGGCGTGATGGTGATCGCTGCCTTGTAAAGAAGGTCACTGAGGTTAGGAGAGGCCAGCACCCACCCAAGCACCACCGGGGAAACTTACCCGGGATGGCTTGAGTCAGTCATCAGCATCCCAAAAGCGGAGGAGCCCAGAGCTGAGCCTCCCAGAGCCTTGTCCTGGTTGGGTCTTGAAGGCTCCGTGAGCAGGTCGGAAAAAAGGACAGAATGCGCCTTCCACAGAGAGGAGGAAGGGTGGAGGGGGCCCCGCCCGGGGAGGAGCACACTGGAAGCAATCTTGACAAAACCAAAGGGCCACATGCTACAGGCCTTGCGGGCTGTGTTGGGGTTGAGGTAGAAACCGGAGGTCACAGGTAGGTTCCCGTAAAATCACTGTAAACCAGTAGGTGTTACTGGGGATTCTTCAGGGAGCTAATTATTTGTGGGAATCTATGATGAATTGTCTTGGAAAGACACACATGCCTGTAGTCACGTGGAAAGTAAATCCAGATGTTTCACTCACACAGTCCCCGGCTTGCAGCACCCTTGGCTAACCGTGGCTTGCATTGTCCAGGGGGCCTCTATTGGACCAGGACCCTCCTAGTCTGTGATGACACCACTGCATGAGAAGGAGTTGGCTCCCATCTGCCCTGGGCCTGGGTCACACCTACATCACAGCTCGTAGAAGTTGGAGGTGACCTGTGACAGGGTTGCCTACAGGGCCTCCTCTTCTGTCTGGAGTCACATTCTCCAGCCTGCAGCAAGCCCTCCAACATAACCATCACTCTCCCCACCAACCCCCATCTTACCCTGTGGTCCCCTTTTTTCTCTCAAGTTTTCAGCCTCCATGTGTGCATGGCTCCCGCCCAGCCATCTCGGGGCTTCTCCCCCTTGCCCAGCATCAGTTGATTATTTACATACATGCTACCTCTCACTGAAAAACTGCGGGAGCTGGAGTGGGTCCCTGTTCGGGTGCACACTGCCTAGTCCTGAACCGCAGAAAAGCTGTATCAACCCAAGCGTCTGTGCCTCAGCCCCCTCTCCTGGACCAGGGAACCTAGTCACACTTGCTCAGCTCTGACTGGTGGCCCCTTGGCACAGGGCGCAGATGAGGACCAGGGGTCACACACTGGCACCTGAGCTGTCAGTCTTCAGACAGCACTGCTAAGAGCCTGGTTCTGATCATCCTGGAGGAGAAAGGTGGAGCCTTTGTACAGAAAGGTGTACAAACTGGAACACAGTCATCTCTCTGGCCCACAGTTTGTTTTATTGCAAAAGAAGTGTTGCTGCCTTGACCCCTCGCTGTGTGACCTGCAAAATAATGCCTTTCCAAGGGTCTTTGCATTAGTCTCCTGTGCCAGAGGTCCCTTAATTTAGCAGCCCTAGATACAGAAAGCCCTATGTTATAACTTGACTGAGATAGATATCTTCTATAAACGTAGTACCTAATTTGCTGCACACCAAAACTCTTTGCATTTTAAATTAAATGTCCTTATTATTTGACTCTTAGCCAGGAGTTTAAGAGCTTCATATAGATAACTCTTCTGGCAGTTCAAGAAACATTCGATGAGCACCTATGCAGTTCTTAAAACTACATATATACTCTATATTATTAAGTCTATGTGACCTATATTATAAAACAGCCATGTTTGAGGGGTATTTGGCAGCCTGCACTTGCTTGCCCTACATTTCCTCACCACTTTTATTAGAAAACCCTCCCCATTTTTCATATGAGGAGCTCAAAGGTCAATGGACTCATAAGCCCATCACCCAAGGTCACACTCAGCCAGACCAGAACTGGGCTAACAACCTGTTTCTGACACTTGGTCGTTTCTCACCTGTCTGTGTAAAGCCCATGTGTGTTCTTAGGTAAGTACCTTTTCAGGAGGATAATATGGTTTCCAAATTCTGCATTCATAGCACAAAACATGGGGCTGCCTTTCCTGCCATCAGCATTTAACAACCAGAATTGCTCCCAGTACCTGTGTTCCTTCTCCATGGACCTGCCACAGAATAGTGGGGACACTGGGAGATGACAAATTGGCACATGGAGAACTTCATAAACAGAGCCCCTGGATTCAGAACCACTGAGTCTCTCCAGAAACAATTTAGTCATATTAAATATCACCCACCAAGGACAAAGTAATAACAACTAGAATAACAATAATAATCATCATTACAGAGTGCTCTACCATGTGCCGGGTGCCACGCTAAGCACTTAATATGCATTATTTCATTTAAGCACTCACAGAAGCGCTGTACTGTATGCACCATTATCCCCACTTACGGATGAACAAACTGAGGCTTAGAGAAGCCTTATCGAAGGTCGCCCTGCCTCTAAGTGGCCCCACCCCACCTGTCAGGCTCAGAGCGAAGGCTTGCAGCAGGCACTGGCCTGGCCTGGGCACTCAAGCCTTTCACTTCCTCCTGGAATTGCTGCCAGCAGGCAGGGCAGCCCTGACTCTGATGAGGTCTGGTTGTAGAACTCAGTGATTCTTTCTCTTTCTTTGGGCAGACAATTGCCTCTGCAGGGGTTGCAACAATTAAGTAAGACAGCAGGATGCAGAGCCAAGCATAGAATGGGGCCCGCCCGATGAGTATGAGCAAAATCTGAGAGAAGAGTCTTTCTCTAGTGAGAATAGCAGGGTGGAGCATCATCTTGCCCTTTCCAGGTTGAGTCTTTGAAAGTAGACTATACGAGTACTCAGCAAGGAGTTTCTGGTCAGAGAACCAAGCTGAGGGTGCATGGTCTTTGTGCCATGATGGGCATTCTCAGCAGCAGAGGCCGGTGTTCAGCCCCACGCCTTACGCTTCGTGGCAGTCTACAGGGACTTGCGTGAGGATGAGCTGAAAGGTCTCAGGTTGGGACAAACTTTGTCAGGCCTCCATCCACCTGTCTACCCAACGAACCAAAGACACCGTTAGAGATTTTACAGGCATGGTCGTGGGTTCTTAATTAAGCAGCCCCCAAGTAGGTGGCAGAAATTTCAGTGGAAGCTATTTAGTTCACTCTGAATACTTACTTACATGCAACCAGATTACAGGCTCTAGTCCTAAAGCCTTCTGATCAGGGCCCATCTTGAGTCTGCAAAAAAGATCTGCAACTGTGCTGCTCAGAGAGAGGAACTGGGACTTGGCAGTGGTAATGGTCCCACATCCAAGGCCCTACAGTGCCAACATATGCACCATGTCCTTGCCTTGTGCCCGTTAGCTCAATCCTTTAAGGTAACTGTTGCTATCGCATTTTACAGATGACAAGTTCATTAACATGTCCAAAGTTTCCCAGCTTGTAAGGGACAGAATTGACTCCAGGTTCAATGCCATGCTGAGGTCTGAAGTGCCCATTATTTCCTCCTCTCACTGCCTTTCTTCCTGTCTTTCTCCTGATCTCTGAACAGGACCAAGTTTTATGTGTGTTTAGTGTCCAGCATCAGTGAATTCCTCAATCCGAAAGGTGTTTCTGTATCCCAGCAGCAGCGGATAATCTTTTGTTAGGGAAGGCTGGGACATTAGTGCTTCCTGCTATTCCACTATAGGGAGAAGAATGAAATAATCACTTTTTTATGAGCACCTTCTGAGAATCTTTTGTCGGAAAATGAGTGCATGCTACCCCCTGTTTGATTACGGCTGAGAAACCATTATAATATATAACATTGGCAAGAGGTCTTAAAAAGGAACTAGGGCGGCGCAAAGTTACGCAATGGAAAATACACAAACTGCCAGCAAATGCAATAGAAAAGATGGGCTAAATGAATTTTGTTTACAGAACAGCTAAATCCTTGAGACAGCGTGCAGGGTGGGATTCAGGTAAATGTCCAAGCTGATGGCCAGATGAGCATCTCCTCCCTCAACCCTAGAATGTTCTCAGTTGGCTTTAAACTGTGATTGTAGTTCTGGCTGATCAAGCAGATGGCGACTAGAAGTCCTGTAGATGGGAAGGTGCTTTGATTCAGGCACTGGAATTTGTTCACCCCAGCCTTGAAAACAGCTAAATTATTAGAACACCCCCCCCCCAAGCTGGGTCTTTGTGTTTTATATTAAGCTGCCTTATTTCCCACACAGAGCTCCCTTTGGGGGACAAAAAAGCAAACTAATCCAAAGCACCTTCGTAACGGGAAGCACCTCTGCTGACTACCCCATGCCAAAGGCCCTTCCCGGCAAGTAGGCCCTGCAGAGCTCTGTGCAGAGCCAGCCCCACGAATGCCAAGTGAGCGCAGGCACTTCCCTGGAGCATGTTAGAGCATCATCCTACCTGGGAAACGTGCTGTCACTCCTCTGGCCCCCTGGCCAGCGCCCCTCACCTTTCCTCTCGAGGGCCATCAAGGGGTCCGCGGTGCCCTTCTGCAGCCCTGCTGGCCCCCTCAGAGGGCCCTCCTCACAGGACTCAGCTGTCGGGGAGGCCACTGACCGCCCAGCTGAACAGGCCTCCAACCCTGCGATCCCCTACAAATGCTTCTTCCTGATGCCTGCCTGATGACAGCCTCAACAACAAAGGGGCTTACAGCTTTTGTTTGCAGAGTTCCACCAAAGGTGTTGACAGCTGAGTGTATGCACCAGCGAGCCAAACATATTTTGTTTAAAATACTAGGAGAGCTTCCCTTCATCCTGTTTGCCATTTCATGATATTCATACAAAATGACCTCCTCCTTGTTTTCCAAATTTTATCTTATCTTACGGCTTTATATTGCCGCGCGTGCGTTGGGGGGGGGGTGTGTGTGTGTGTGTGTGTGTGTGTGTGTGTGCGTGTGTGTGTGTGTGTGTGTGCGTGTGTGTGTGTGTGTGCGCGTGTGTGTGTGTGTGGTGTGTGTGTGTGTGTGTGTGTGTGTGTGTGTGTGTGTGTGGTGTGTGTGGATGCCTCTGTCCCCTGCTTACAGTAGACCAGAGAGTGACCACTGGATGTTTTACAGGCAACTTAGTCAGTGAAGTCTGTTTAGTCCGTTTGTGCTGCCATAACAGGATACCATAAACTGGGGGACTTACAAACAATAAACTTTTATTTCTCACAGTTCTGGAGGCTGGGAAGGCCAAGATCCAGGCACTGGCAAGTTTGGTGTCTGGTGAGAGCTCCCTCCCTGACTGCCTTCTTCTCGCTGTGCCTCCACTGGGCAGAACAGAATAGGCAGGGAGCTCTCTGGGACCTCCTGAGGGCACTAATCTCATTTGTGAGGGCCCCACACTCATGACCTAACCGCCCCACAAAGGCCGCATGTCCAGATATCATCACAGTGGGAGTCAGGATCTCAATATATGCATCATGGGGAAGGGGCGGGGAAGGACACAAACATTCAGTTCATAGAGTCTATTGACCTATTTCAGTCATAGCAACTACTAAAATTCCTCTCTGTTTTCAGCAACTGGAAGAAAAACTCAAAGGACAGGCTGACTATGAAGAGGTGAAGAAAGAACTAAAGTAAGTGCAGAGATGCCTGCTCAGCCACTCACAAGCCAGGGCACACTGGGGGCATTGCTAAAAATGCCATGGCAGCGAGGGGGCAGCCATGGGTCCTTGATCTTGGCGTCAGCAGACACTGCACCACAGGGCCGTGTCCTGGGCTGCCCAACACTGTGGGTGTTCACACTTAGGCCTGCGCCTGAATTCCTTGGACTTTTTATAAAACTGTGCATTTGAAGTACAACAATATGCACAAAATCAGGGGAGACATTACCATTTAGAAATTACAAAATATGAGCTTGTTTTTCAGCTATAAGTTCCCCAAGCAGAGCAGGGAAACATTTTCCAGTTGAAAGAGTATACCTGGCCTCACATCTCCCTGGTCACCGAGACTCCAGGACTTTCTTCTCCCAACCTCCAATTGCCCATCTGAGAGGCAAAACCTGAGAGCGTGTTGCCCCTTTGGTGCTAACGCTTGCATTCTCAAGCTTGGGCATTCCCTCCTCAGGTCCCGCCACCCAGCCTGGCCCTCCTGCCTCAGATTCCTTCTTCAGAGCCTACCCTTGGCCCTCCTGCAGCTCCTGGGCCCTGGTTCCTAACCTGTCCCCCAGTTCTAGCACTGTCTAAGCTCACAACCTCCTCCCTCTGCCTGGAGCTCATAGACAGCCCCCTGTAGAGCACACGATCCCCCTCATCCTCCTGCCTGGGCTGACAAGAGTCTCCCCTGGCTGTCTTCCATCTCCACAGCCAGATTATCACCTCCTGCAAGGAAGTCGCTGGTGTGCAGACCAGGTCCCTGCAGGCTCTGTTCTTTCCCTTGCTGCTTATGGGCTCCATGCTGCACCAGGGACCCTTCTACGCCCTCAGCACCCTCTTCTTTCTCCACCTGAGCCCTGGCCCCTCAGCAGCCATCTTGGTGCCCTGCCCACAGAGGAGACAGACATCCCTGATCTTCCCCCTTTACCTTGAAATCACTCCTGTCCTGGCCTCCCTCCCATCTCTCCAGGCTGACCCCTCCACCTGGACCCTGGCTCCCTTCTTCCTAATCCTTCCTGCTATTCTATAAGCCCCATTCTCTCTTGCTGACATTTTTAATTTCTACTTTTAAAATAAGCATACACCAGCCAACTCACCATGCTGTTCTTTGTGTTAATTCTGCTCCCTTGCGTTTGCTAGAAAAACCCATTAGAAGGCCTCTTCAACCTTCTCGCTGCCATATCCAGGAGCCTTCCCTCAGTCGTGACCTCCCCCAGCTCCCCTGATGAGGTGCCTCCAGGTTTCCTGGTCAGTCCTGTGCAGTCTCATTCCCTCTGCTCACACACAGCCTCTGCCAGGACCGCCTTGGACAACCCTTAAACTCTTCTACAGCTCCAGCTTCTTCAAGCCTTGTACTCTGCCCCCCGCCCCAAAGTATGCATCCCTTCCTTTGCATCCCAAAGTGTGCTCTATACAGGCCTGCCTATGAGCTCCAGGCTGGGGGAGGAGGTCATGAACTTAGAGGGTGCTAGAACTGAGGGACAGGTTAGTAAATAACGTAGGGATACATATTTTTTCATCTGGTGGACCTTCTGTACCTGCCTCTCTATTCCGGTCTTCCCTTTCCCTCTTCAAAAGAAAAAACTTGTGCCATCTTCTAGTGTGGAATCAGAGGAACTTGGACCTTCACCCAAGCTCCCCACGCCAGGATCAGTCCGACACCTCCACTCCAAGCTCATCTCCATTCCCAACGCTCCTTGACTTTAGCGTGCAACACGTCCCGGGTCTGGTCCCTCCCGTCCGTCTGTCTGCCTAGGTGACCCCTGCCCTTCCAGAGCATTCACCCCACCTTCCTGGTGGCCCTTTTGTTGCATCTGCCCACCACAACATCAGCATCCAAAAGCCACCCCACTCTGGCTTTTCTGATAAAATGTGCCCTTGGCCTCCCACTTCCTAGTGATCCAAGTGCTTATTCAAACACACACTTATATTTCCTTCCCATCTCCGTCCCCATGCCCCCATGGTCTGTAAAGCATCCTGCTCCTTCAAGGCCCATCTCAAACTCTTAACTCAACACACAGACCCTGTCTCCAGCCCAGTAACGTGTCTCCAAGGGCCCCCATGGGTTTTCTGTTTCCCATGCTATCTGGATTTTGTCCTCTCTGAAAGAGCCCATGGTGGTCGTGAGGATGAGAAGTGGAATGGTTCTGATTCTCCAATGCCGGATGCATAATAGGTTGTCGGTAAATATCTGCTGACTAAATGAAGAGACACTGGTGTTTTTAGTATAAACTCCAAGACTCCATCTTCTCTTACATGATCTAAAGAAACTCTCGGACAAGAATATACCTGTGAACAATGTGATGGCCACTAAGAACAAACAAGTTTCAGGCTTGTGTCTGATGTGATGGGGCCGAGTTCTTTTAGTATTCCCCATAGCCCACCATGAAATAAAAATTACTGGGTTGGCCAAAAAGTCTGTTTAGGTTCTTTCTATAAAATAAAGGACACGTTTTTCATTTTCACCAGTAACTATTGATTTGGATATTTTGAGTATGTTGGCTATCTCCCGCTATTGGTTTCTAGTTGATAGGGGCCAGGAGAGCTGCTAAACGTCTTCCAATGCAAAGAGTTATCTGGCCAAAATGTCAATAGTACCAAGAAACTTCACAAAGCACTTCTGACACATTCAATTGGTCACAGCACCTTCTCTATGCACTGCACAAATCTTTTTTTGCATTTCAGTTGCATTTTTGCCTTTAGTGAAATAAAGCATAATACAATGAAAATGTTGCATATTTTCTCCCATCTTCAGTATTAAAATGGCTGCACAAAAATTCACCAATTTTGGTGTTTTTTTAATGCACACTGATACGGCAGCTATCACAATACAATCTAACAAAATTGTTTCAAATGACGTTAAAGACAACTAAGCACTACTAGGGCCATCCTGTGGAAAAACATGAATGAACTTTTTGCCCAGCCCATACATGGTTTACCCCTATTAGCTCCTCTTCATTCTTTTTTTGTTAGTTTACATGACAAGGGCCACTGCAAAGGTACAACTGTAGAGAAACTAAGAGCAGTCATCTGCTTATTGAACCTTGTGGTAGCTGTGGCAGAAAGTGGTCTCCCGGGGCCCTGGCCATTTTTCACATTGTCCCCTCCTGGTGACACTTCCATGGAGCTTAAGGAGGGCAGAGGCTAAAGTCATGACTTCAAGAATGCTGGGAGAACTCAGGTGGCCCGTTGACTGGGGGACACGTCATGCTCATTCTCATCTTCCCTCCTTGTATATGAAGGGACCACCCACGTGGACTGACCTCCCCTTTCCTCCCCAATAACTCACAGAAAGAAAGCAATGCACACGCTAAAGAAAGACTGGAAACATCAGTTCTGCGCACCTGAACTCACTCAGCTCTCGGACTTGTTGAAACGGGCCAGAGACCAAGGTGGTTTCCATGATAAGGAGATCAAAGGAGAAATAATCCTTGTCTCCCACACCTTTGCAATGGTGCTCCTTCCCTGTCCCTGGGCAGTACAGAAGGTCTCTGCTAGCCTTGGAGCCATCCAGCTATGGGGCCACACTCTTTGCCCATTTCCCCACCCCCAGGTGCCAGCTACCAATTGAGCATGTGGAGGGGCAGCCCTGGGGTGCTGAGGTTTCTCTTTGAGGTTGGCTTCGTTGTACCAGCTCTTTCATTCTCACTAAGCTTTACAAATACATTCCACTTGCATTGGTGTTATGTCTGTGTTCAACTTTAAAATTATACTCTGAGCAGACCTGGTGTGATTCCATATGGAGTGATTTACATGCCGGGCAAGAAACTTTTGCTAGCCAACTGCTAGTTGAATAGTTATTCTAGAGACATTATCAGATTATAATGCTGCCAGGGAAGTTGTTAAAGTTGTCAGATCCTCCATTCCTGGAGAGCAGGAAATTGTGATGTTGATGCTCATTAGTTATGACTGTTACCAAAGGTATGAGGAGGAAATAACCACCCTGTCCTGCTCTTTGCAGTATTCTGAAGTCCATGGAGTTTGCACCGTCCGAAGGAGCCGGGACACAGGTACCTGGTCTCACTTTGCTTTTAGCGTGCGTGAGTGTCAGCGTGGCCACAGTCACTGTTTGTCCCCAGGCGAGCTTCTGCATCTCTTTATTTCTATGAGACCTCTCGCCTATAGCTGACCAATCGTTCCTCAAGAACATTTAACAAAGTTAAAGCAAATTATCTTTATTTTAAAAGTTAGTGTTTTCCAAACTGGTAACTCAATTTAAACGAAACTGTAATTTAAGTTGGTGCTAAGAATTTGAATAAAAACTATTTTAGATTGTGTTAAAGCTCAGCCCCAAAAGGACTGGCTTAGGAACTTTTATTGTCTACAGAGGCAAGGTGACAGTGGCACGTGGTAACCTGGTAGCCAGTTAAAATTTAAGTCATGTCATGTCATCCTGCTCCTGATGCTCAGAAAGCAGCTGACTCTTCGTGGCTGGCACCTTTACAATGATTTTCTGACAGGTGTATGGCTCTGCAGCCAGTGCTATTGCCAGCTGCAAAAGAAGAAAAATTACTTCAACTGAAACAAATTCTTTTGGGGCGTATTTCCATGCATGTTTCCACATGTGTGTTGAGCATCATCAGGGAAGTCAGAGTCTGTAACATGTCAGAAGCAGGTGGAGAGTTGGATGGAAAGCCGTAGGAGCCGGAGTTGCAGGGCCTGGTGGCCTGGGGAGTGGGAGGGTGCCCTGCCGCAGTGAGCCCCACTCTGCCTTGTCTAGGACGCATCCAAGCCCCTGGAGGTGCTGCTGCTGGAGAAGAACCGCTCGCTGCAGTCCGAGAACGCCGCACTGCGCATCTCCAACAGCGACCTGAGCGGTAGGTTGACAGGGTCTCGTGTGCCGTGCTCGGTCCCTTCCGGGGGCCGAGGAAGAGAAAGGTGAACCGTGAGTCTGGGCCGATGCATGACGGGAACATCACCGGTTGATGAGAACCTTGACTAATAAGTGTTTGGTCTCCTCCTCATCCTCACTGCTCCTCTCCTTCCCTCCCCCGCCTGCTTAAAGACGGTCAGGGTGAGAGTTGTGGCCGCAGAGTGTCTGTGGAGGTCAGTTAGAGCCAGCGCTGCAGGAGATTGCAGGAGGGACACTTGGAGGATGTTGGCTTTCTGATCTTTTCCTAGTTGTGCGGCCTCTCTCTTGTGGTGTGTCCGGGGGCTGCTGCCAGGGTTAGCCCTGCCCTTCCAGGCTCAGTGGAGCTTTTCTTCCTTTGTCAGGTTTTCCTTGGGAACGCATTCCCCATCCTTAGCCTTTCTTTGCTCATCCCAAAATGGTGGCGTCACTGACTGCTTCTGGTTTTGGCAGCTGGTAAACCGTTTAAAAGTGTCTCGGGCTCCGATGATATTTCATTCTTAAAATGTGCGTGCCTTCGATCGAGTGGACTTGGTGCGGTGCATTCGCCTCAGAGCAAGTGGTGTGAGAGAATCCGTTGGTCCCAAAATGTCAGTGTTTGCTGCTCCTCAGGTGGGGCCCTCCTGGTAATAGCTCGAATGCCAGAGGTCCGATCAGAGGCCTGCGACTTGTCAACTTTACTGTGTGTGATACCGGCTCCTTGTCACTTAGGAGTTTGAATCTATGTCAAGGGGACTCTCCAGGCTGCAACGTACAAGAAAGGTGCAAACATGAAATGCATGTTGCTTGTTTCCGGGGGGCCTCGTTTGGCTGATTTAAAAATTCAATTGAAAAACAAACCAACACTCCTCATTGGCCCTTGTAAAATCTGCACTTTTTTTTCCCTTTTGTGGGGCAAACTTTGCATTTTGGTCTTGGTTTTTTTTCCCTTTTGAATCCCCCATAATGCATTATGTTTGCCCTTCCTTGTAGGGTCAGCCAGGAGAAAAGGGAAAGACCAGCCTGAGAGTCGGCGTCCTGGACCTTTGCCGGCGCCCCCTCCTCAGTTGCCCCGCAACACGGGGGAGCAGGCTTCCAATACTAATGGTACACACCAGTTCTCACCAGCGGGGTTAACTCAAGACTTTTTCAGCTCATCCCTGGCAAGCCCCAGCCTACCCCTGGCTTCTACAGGAAAATTTGCACTAAACTCTCTCCTCCAACGACAGCTAATGCAGTCCTTCTACTCCAAGGCCATGCAGGAAGCAGGAAGCACAAGCATGATTTTTTCAACAGGTCCTTACAGCACAAACTCCATATCATCCCAAAGTCCATTACAACAAAGCCCAGATGTAAATGGCATGGCCCCATCTCCCAGCCAGTCAGAAAGTGCTGGGAGCGTCTCCGAGGGCGAGGAGATAGACACTGCAGAAATTGCCCGGCAGGTGAAAGAGCAGTTGATCAAGCACAATATCGGACAGCGCATTTTCGGACATTATGTCTTGGGACTGTCTCAAGGGTCCGTGAGTGAGATCCTGGCCCGGCCCAAGCCATGGAATAAACTGACCGTTCGTGGCAAGGAGCCTTTTCACAAGATGAAGCAGTTCCTCTCGGATGAGCAGAACATCTTGGCTCTTCGTAGCATCCAAGGCAGACAAAGAGGTGAGAGACTTTCATGGGTTGGTGCCAACCTGTCAGCCCGTCACAGAGTTGTGTGTGCGTGTCTGTGTGTGATGCAACATTTGTACATCACATCAGGTAAAATTCTCTTCAGTTCTACCATTTCCAGAGTTCAAGGGTCAACTGGCACGAGCGAAAGCTGTTAGATTTGGGAGATCGGGCCTCTGAAACCCGCTCAGCACCTCACACTTAGTAAACTCAGTATTTCAGTACTGTGTATTGAACTGAGGGAATTACACACAACATCCTGACATGTTTAGTGTCCAGTGGTCTGATTGGCCTTGGGTGCTGGCCTCACGTGAGGAGGAGTCCTTGGGTACCATCCAGCCCTAGAGCAGCAGCAGCAGCAGCAGCACTGAGGCCAGTCCTCACACAGAGTTGCTTCCATGGGCAGAGCGTGTCAGCCTTCCCCATGGAAGTGTATCGTCCCACCACACAGAAGGCAGTATGTCCTGTGGTCAGCTCTCTCCCAGTGCTTATGTTCTGTTAGTGATTTATGTAGCATTATAAGCAAAACACACCTTCCTTGAGTTAAATACAAGAAAGTTTTATCAAAACACCCTTCCTACCCCACCCTCCCTAAAAAGATAAAAAGTCAGTGTGGTCCCTAATTGAAAGAATTCCTTCCCTCACTAACAACAGGGGATCATTCTGCTAAATCAGCAATGATGGAGAGAGGTAATCTTATCAGGCACATTTGGAAAACCTTGAAGTGTAGGCTCAAAACAAACAGAAGGGTGACGGTTGAACAACAAAGTCAATTTGCACAAAGCACATCGAGCTTTTTATAGCGATGTTAACTAAAATTGACTGTCTTTGGATGATTAATGTGAGCTTTGTCCCGGGGGCTGGTGGGCGATTCGCTTAGCGTCAGGGCTCCCTCCGTTTGCCCCTGGTGGCATTGGTGCCGCAGGCCTTAGGTCTGTCTGATCTCCTTTTGCAGCAGAGCCATGGCCTCCGAGGCCACTCAGCCAGGAAGGGCCTCTCAGAAGTGTCCAGTAGCTCCCAAGTTGCACAGGAAGCCCTGAGCCCTCTTGGTAGTGACAGGTGGCTCAGATTTCATGTCACACAGCCCATATCGTCAACACCACCATCCCCCTGATTGTTTTGTTCTTACCACACTTGTTTTTCAACAGAGAATCCAGGCCAGAGCCTGAACAGACTATTTCAGGAAGTACCGAAACGAAGAAATGGGTCTGAAGGTATGTTGCAGGCAGGTGTTTTTCTTTGCAGTTAGTAACCTAGGAAGCAGCATGTCCTTAGCTGTGTATTTGGGTTAAAACTGTACAGTGTGATTCTGGCCTGGAACCTGATGGAAAAACAGAGCTAGTAAGTATAAAACAAAGCACGGGTTCAATTACGCAAGGCCCCTTCCTCCTGAGCTGCTTGCACTCTACTGAGTGCAGAAGAGGTGAGAAGTGGGCTCCACCACTAAGAATTAGTAGTACCCAAATAAGAATCCCAGCCCCCTTTAGATTCAAATTATGCCTTTCCCATTTTCTCAGAAGCAGATGAAAGAATAACAGTTGTTGCTCTGAGAAAAATCAGGCGACTGAGTCAAACGAGATACTGCTGCTTCCTTGTACTTTCTTTTAACTCTGAAATATTTTGAAGGTGCTGCGGAGTGGACAAATCCTAATCATAGTCAGTTTTCCTTTGGGTTCTGGCGAGCCAACCCCTACTGCACTCCTTGGAGCTGCGTCTTTAATGGGGCTTGGTCCCAGTGGTATGCTGGGTTTTAAATGGTTTGGTGCGGTGGTTCATGTTTTAGTAAGGTAGTGAAAAATTAAAATGTGGACGGCTTCCAGAAAGAACTGGGGCCAGCCCCCGGGCCATAGTAGCTTCAGTGCATCTGTACATGTGGCTACTCTGCAAAGCATCACCATGTGACCAGAAGACTGAATTCTTGTCCTTTACGGATTTCTGCAGGATCCTCTCCTCATTCATAAATTTTTAAAAGACAATATGTGATAATAGCTTGAAAACTTTAAGTTAAGCCTTCAGCCTCTTTACCTTGTGCATCCAAATGATTGATAGGTAATCAGCCTCAACCCTTCTTTTCCATTTTTCCTTTTGAGATGCCAGCCTCAAAAACACGTAAAGAACCTTGAACATAGCCCCATGCCAAAGCAGTTGTTGGAGTTGCTTTTAAATGTCTCACAAAAAAACATTGCCCTTTATTCCTTCATCTTTTTTTTTATACCAGATTAAATGATTTTCTCTCCCTGGTCCCAACCCGTGGGTGTCCAGCTTGGGTAAATGTGAGAGTGTATCTCCCTGGCTGAGTAACACTTAATGCCAGGCAGATTCAGCAGGAAGCCCTTCCTGCACGGGGTCACGGTACCTGCTGTGAAGTTGCACGCACAGCAGGCACAGGTAAATGGGAGGCCACGCCTGCCTCCTTACCGTCACGGGCCTCAACTCCTGCGTGAGCTCTTTATCAGAATGACACCTTCGTGCAGCACTGGTTTTTGTCCGAGGTGTGGGTTTGATGTCATTGGTGTGTCTTCTCCTTGCAGGTAACATCACCACCCGGATCCGAGCCTCGGAGACTGGGTCCGATGAAGCAATCAAGTCCATCCTGGAACAAGCCAAAAGGGAGCTGCAAGTGCAGAAAACTGGTACGGATTCCAATTCTTTGACTACTGTTTTCCAAACTTAATTAGAATATTGTCATAAGTGTTTTGGTCGGCAGTAGTTTACTTTCTGTTTTAAAAATAATAGAAAGCACGTTTCCAAGCATTTAGGCAAGTGCAGAGGGGAGTAGACCTGTGTAACATGCATTGTGTTAATAGCGACCATTCTTTTCATGATATCATTCTCGACCGTTGACTCAAGAATATACTCATGGCCCAGGATCTTCTTTGCTTACATTAACCGGTAATTTGAATCAAATTTCTTCTTTAAATGCAATCAGTATAGCCTTGTGTTATTTGGATATGTACTTAACCAAACACTACCAAAAAAGAATAAATTCTTACCACCTGCTTTATGGAATGAATGCTGCCAGGGAGGAGCAGGAAGTTTTAATGGATGTATGTCCACATCTGTGGTTAGTCTGCCTCAGGAATCAGCCCTGGAGCTACTTGCTTTCTCTAAGAGGAGAGAACTCCCACATTTTGGTGTTTCTCTGGTTAAGCTTGGCTTGAGAAGCATGCCATGCCGTAGGTTCAGCTCAGACCTACTGGAAAGGAAAGTGAGTGCCTGCGTTCCCTTCCTGGAGTCCTACGCACACCTGCCCTGCACCCGTGCAGCCCTGCTCTGCACGAAGCCAGCCACGGGGCTCCTACCAGGCCTGGCCTTGGGCAGCTGTGGCAGCTGAGGATGGGCCACCTCATGGTCGCGCCCCTGGTCACTGCATCCTCTCCCCAGGGTGCCAACTCCCACATTGCTTGTTCAGGGGGTGAGCTCGTTCCTTCTGGGAAGCAGGCCTGGGCTGGGCATTTTTACCTACCTTAAACTAGCTCCTCACAACAACCCTGAAAGAGAGATTTTGTTATCCTATTATTCCTGGTTAATATGCTAAAAGTTAGAATAATTTCCCAACCTGGATCTCTCAACTCTCATCCCAGCACTTCCCCTCCTGTGGCCGTGTCCCCGCTTCCAGAGACCCCAGAGGGGTAGGAAATGACGACTCCTTGTGGGATCAAGCCTGAGGATGGACGGAGCTTTCAGTTTGGTGTGGTTCTTACCCCCAAGGCCAGAGTGGAGGTTTAAGCCAGTCCCTCCTCTGGTGGCTGAACAACAGAAAGCTTGGCAGGCTAGGGGATACCCCGAGTTGAGAGTGGAAAGGCCCACCTCGGGGTGCAACTGCAGGGCTCACCCCTTCCCTCCCGAGCACAATCTCTCCTATGGAGTGGTGGTGCCGCGTGCACCCTGAGGACGCTGGGAGAGTCACGTGAGTTGGCGAAGGGAGGGCTTTCTGTTAACCAGTAAAGTCAGGTCCTCCACAGGCATTAAAGGTTGTCACTGTCGTTTGCGGCATTTGTCAACCTCATTTGAAGGAAGAGAAGAACCAGCTTGTGTGATTTCCTCCCCCAGTTATGAACACACATTGCAAAGCTGATGCACCTGGAGAGAGCATTCGGCCCAGCACCTCTCAACCGGGCCTTACTCTGCCGTTACCCGGGAACTGGTTGAACATACAGATGCTGTCCATGCAGAAGCAAGTCCAGCCCCAGGCTTGCTTCTCAGTCAGACACTGCAGGGTTGGGGCCTAGGCATGTGCATCTTAACAAGCCCAGCGGGTGATTCTGGTGCACAGCCCTAGTTAAGAATCCTTCATCTAGTCCATTACCCACCCCAAGTTTACAGGTGGAGATCCTGAGGCCCAGCCATGCTTTTGACTCCCCCGGGGATCACAGCCTCGGGCCCCTGTTTATTGCCTTTCATTGTGGAGCTCAGGGTTGCTGGCCGCATGATAGCCACCCACCCAGAAGGGGATCTGAGCTAACCCAAGCATGGTCACTTACGCTGGGACACTGGTCTCTCACCACCACTGTTAACAAAACCTTTGTTTCTAAAGCTTGACACAACCACTGGAATTTTGGAATATAGCACACAAGAATACTGTTTAAAAATCATCAAGGAGAGGAAATCCAGGATGGGTATCACTGAGCATACTCCTTCGCTCTTATCATACTCCTGATAATAAATCTTTTCTGTTGGTCATAGAGGTGAGGGTCAGGGGGTCACCGAGCAGTAGTGTTAATGCTTTTATCACTTTCGGACAAGATGCACGAATGTCTCACTGACTGGGGACATGTGGGACACACAGCTGTGAGGTTCTCCCAAATATTTCGCATTTTGTGATATGTAAAGTTAGGAAGAAGTGGAGTAAAAGAAGCATGTTCCCCACCACAGGTGGCAGTTCCACCACCATCTAACCTCTGTGTTTGCTCCATGCAGCAGAGCCGGCCCAGCCTTCTTCCACATCCAGCAGCGGGAACTCCGATGACGCCATCCGTTCCATCCTGCAACAAGCCCGCCGAGAAATGGAGGCCCAGCAAGCCGCCCTTGACCCCGCCTTAAAACAAACACCACTGTCACAGACTGATATTGCCATCCTGACCCCTAAGCTAATGTCCACCTCACCCATGTCCTCGGTGTCCAGCTACTCTCCTCTAGCCATTTCCTTGAAGAAGCCCGCCTCTGCCCCAGATTCTAACACCTCCACTCTACCCAACCCCCCGGCCCTCAAAAAGGAGTCCCAGGACGCGCCTGGGCTGGACCTCCCGGGGGCGGCCGACTCTGCACAGGGTGTCCTTCGACACGTGAAGAATGAGCTGGGCCGCAGTGGCGGGTGGAAGGACCACTGGTGGAGCACTGTGCAGCCAGAAAGAAAGAGCAGCGCACCTTCCGAGGAAACTAAGGTTGAAGAAGCCAGCAGTGGGAAAGAAAAAGGCAGCGGCAGCAGCCAGGCGCGGGCCGAGCGCAGCCAGCTCCAGGGACCCTCCTCCTCTGAGTACTGGAAAGAGTGGCCCAGCGCAGAGTCACCATACTCCCAGAGCTCGGAGCTGAGCCTTACTGGAGCCAGCCGCAGCGAGACGCCGCAGAACAGCCCTCTGCCCTCCTCCCCGATCGTACCCCTGTCCAAGCCCGCCAAGCCCTCTGTACCCCCGCTGACACCCGAGCAGTATGAGATCTACATGTACCAAGAAGTAGACACCATTGAGCTTACCCGGCAGGTGAAAGAGAAGCTGGCCAAGAATGGCATTTGTCAAAGGATCTTTGGGGAGAAGGTAAGGAACTGGGGGCTTGGGTTTTCTTATCTCTTCCCTTTGCTTAGAAATAAGTACCTGCAGGACGTTGCCATCACTTATGAATTACCTAGCCATAGAGCATAATGGGTTATCCACTCCCAAACGTCTGGGAAGGCTGGCAAACGTTTCATTTGTTGCATCCCCAGTAGAGACCAGGTTTCCCACCCAGTGTACTCCTTTAGACCACTCAGTCACACTGAGGGGGGTGGTAAAGTTGCTTTTGACAGCTAAAGAAAGTGAGCTCAGAGAAATTAACTATGTGCCCCGAGCTGGTAGGTGACTGAATTCAAGTCCTCCCTCTGCTGTCAGGTGCAGCCCAGAGGCACCTCTGCAGGTCGTGGTGGCCAAACAAAGGTCTGATTACAATGTGCAGAGAACACAAAGGCCATGTGAAGAATAAATGTACCTTTCTCATAATTCATCAGGCACTTGGGTAACATCCAGCCAGAGGTGAAGTGACTTGCCCAGGAATGCACAGCTAGCGGTGGCATGAACAGCGCTGCCCAGGACCCTGAAAAGCCCTTGTTTCCACACCATCCTTCCATGGTTCACAGTCGTTTGGGGATGAGCTCCCAGACCTTTCTGTTCTAGCCACTTCCTGGTGACAAGATCCTGGATAATGGGAATTTACCAGGCCTGTAGAATATAAGATAAACATAATGGCCCAGGATCGTTTTAAGTTCAGTAATGAATGCTGAGCATGAGAAGCTCTCCATTCCCTTGAAAGGCAGCCTCCCTGAAGGGCACCTGGCTGCGTCCTCAGTGGCCTCCAGGAGGCCAGCCTCCCCAGCCCTGACCCACCCGCCCCCCGGCCCCCCCACTGTCCTGCCTTCAGTTTGGTGTTTTGCAGTATACGGTGCTGTGAATTCTTGCAGTATCTGATTGTGATCTCTTCATCCTGATTTTGCAAAAGGTGATGGGAGGAATAGAAATGAGGATGAGAATTTCAAATCCCTTGAAATTTCTAGTTCAGTGTTGTAAAAATATCATTTGAGAACATTTAAATAGACATTTGTGCTCATGCCTTAAATTTAGCAGACTTAATAGTGTTGAACTTGTTTGGCCCATGAGTGCAGTTTATTCTGGAACTTGAGAACTTTTCAAAAGAGTGATCGGATGCAGCCCCTAAATATCTCTGGGCTGCATCTGTGTCCTGTGGGGGGTGTTTGTGCCCATACATATGTATGGCCATATGTGAGCATAAGAAAACTCGGCAATGTATGTGCAACTTGTCGATCGTCTGCAGTGAGTTTTACTCCCAGGCTGGCTCTCCCCGTTGCCACCAGTTCACCTCGGGGCCCCCACCGTAGAGCAGGATGTGATCAAAGAGAGTGAATCTTTCTAAATGCCAATTTGGCACAGCACCAGCAAAGAAGACTGGCTTCCAACATCCCGCCAGCATCCGCTGCTTCTGCCTCTGAAGGGGTCCTTGGCTCCAGCACCTCAGCCTTTCCTGGCGCCACCAGGCAAAAAGCAAGATGGTTTCAATGTTTCCTCTTGGGTTGTCAAGACGACGACCCTACAGCCTTGGCAGGATGGAGACCCCACCCCTCTCTTTCCCAACCTGCCTCTCCCAGGGAGCTGAAAGCTGTGACTATAAGTATGGCTCCTACTGCCAGGTCATCGGCTCACCAGTGACCTTGAAAAGCTCATTCAGCCATCCCAGGCTGTCACTGTCATCCAGGCAGTGGTTCTCTGCTCCACCAGAAGCGCTCCCTGGGTGTCCTCTGTCTCTGTCACACCTCCTGCACAGTTCTTGCATAGCACTAAGGCATTTTGCAGCCCCAGCTCAGCCCTGGGTGCTGATGCGGTGGTCTTTGTTTGCCATTCCAGGTTCTGGGCCTGTCCCAGGGCAGTGTCAGTGACATGCTGTCTCGGCCAAAGCCATGGAGCAAGCTGACCCAGAAAGGCCGCGAACCCTTCATCCGGATGCAGCTCTGGCTAAATGGCGAGCTGGGCCAGGGCGTCCTGCCCGTCCAAGGACAGCAGCAGGGTCCAGGTGAGGACGGCCCCTGGCTGCTGCCGGGCCAGAGAAGGGGCATCTGTGCAGGGAGGTGGCCAGCCATGGGGCACTGGAGGCAGAGAACTGTCCCCCTTCCTCCACCACCTGTTGCCATGGTACTAACTTTAGTTTTTAGGAGAGAGAAGATTGTGCCTAGCTAATTTTATAAGCAGTAGAAAATGAGTTACCAATTAAGAAAATGCTGTTTATACATAAATATAGGTTAAAGTCAAGTAGCTAAATCAGGGAGTCGGGAAAGAAAATCAGCCAAAGGCACCAAGGTGAAACATATCATGGGTGACAGCTTCTGCCTCTTCCCCAGCCAGGGTCCTACTTTCTACCAGCAGCACTTTGCCTGCCTGTGTGGACTCTGCATTCTAGCCCCTCCCTGTAAGGAATGGGGAATCCTCCCTTAGGCCTTTGGGAGCTTATGCTGTCCCTCCTCTTCTACCCTCAGTGTATTAGGAAGCTTTAAGCCCTTGAGCTTTTTTCCTGATTTAATTGTACTCCTTTTTCTTATTTAGTCCTCCATTCTGTGACGTCACTACAGGACCCTCTGCAGCAGGGCTGTGTGAGCTCAGGTAACTAGCCGGTTCCTGTTGTTTTTTATGAAATGCTGTGTATATTTTCCTGTCCTCTGGTCTGCAGCGGAGAGACTCAAAGGATCCCTCGTTCCGGGTCAGGGAACTGAAAACATGGTGTCCTGTTGGCAGACTGCTTTCCTTGTTGTAGTTTCTGATGGGGAGAGAGGTTGACAGTTGAGTGCAGAGCTCCTCCAGCATTCTCTTGCTCCCCACTGTATTCTTTCATCAGTCTGTCGGATTCTAGATGTGAAGCCCTGTGTTCGGGACTGGGGTCTGTGGTTCGAGTCAGGGAGAGATTCTGTACTCAGGGCTTCCATTAATAGGAGGGCACAAGGAATGGTCATGGTAGGGGGCAGCCAAGTTCCTCTGGAAGATCCTGGGCCACCTTCAGGCAAGAGGGAAATGAAGGCAGGCGGACTAGTTCAGTGACTGGATGGATAGAGAGCCAATGACATTCAGCAGAGTAGGGGCCGAGGCTGGGGATCCAGCCAGGGAGCAGTTGATAGAGGGCATGGAATGCAGGCAAAGACAGCATCTGAGAGCTGTGAGGTCCTTGGGGTGGCACTTCACTGTAGGGCCCCCAAACTGCAGCGCCTGGGTGCTCATGTACCCATGCTCCTAGACCCCCTCCCATGTCCTGCCTGGGCTCCCGCACGGGCAGAGCTTTTCTCACCCAGCTTCCAGGAACAGCCAACATCACGAGCTGTTCCTCTTTTTTCCTTTCTTTATTTTTCTAAACATCTTGATTAGTCTCCATATCCCATTGATTCATTGAAAACACAAACAAAGCTAAGTGAGAAGCGTGAAGCCTGCCAGCCTGCTGGAAGTTTTACGAGGGAAAACATGTGTAGTGAGGGAACAGCTGGGCGGCGACCGCGGCCGCTGCAAGATGCCAAACCCACGCACAGATGCAGCCAGAGCGTGTCGGCTGCAGCTAAGTTCCTGGTTGGGTTTTTTTGTTAGGTGTCCCATTCTGATTTTGACCAAAATGGAGGTTGGAAAGCAGTATGTTGCCCAAACTGTAGGTTTCTTGGATGGACATCTAAATGGAGTGGTTGACCACGTGAGGAGGGATCAGGTGGACCTACTTCTCCCTTCTGGGCTGGCCAATTTGATTAGCAAGTACTGGAGAACTTAGGCAATGCTGGCTCACATTCAAAAGTCATCAGGGAAAATAAGGGGCATAGTTGTTTGTGCTAGAGTTTTGCAGACGTTTGCATGGAAAATCCACCATGCCTCTCGCTCTAACAGAAAATTGGCCTCCTCTTAAACTCGCAGAGAGCATTTGCTGCCCCATCAGAGTCAGGACTGAACTTGGCAGAATGTGACTAATGTTCCTTAAATCAAAACCCCTTGTTCCTAAATAAAACAGGAAATCTCCTGCAGTTCCAGGTCAGTTAATGATCGATGCCAAAACCTTCTCCGTGTCTGAACAAATCTTGGAAGAATGGCTTTTTGCTTTTTATTGTATAGCAGGTAATCGCTACCGTGCTGGAACATTCATACAACAGTCGCATTTCCAGCCTTAGAAAAACACGCAGGGCTCCTGAGAGGAATATAAGTGATATTTGTAAGATATCAAATTACTTTATAAAATAAAATGATATAAAACTCTTGGGGAGTCTGCAGATTGGAGAATGAAAGACGGAGGAGGCAGTGAGCCTGTGGATAAAAGTGAGCACTATAGAACTTTCTGGTGGTTTCTGTGAAGAAGTGGCAGGCAGGCCTCTCAGCAAGACCGGAGATGGATTACATACAGATCGCTTACCCAATGTACCCATTGGTGGTCGGCAGTAGGGAAGCCATCAATAGAAGCAATAATTGTGGTGACTGGAGAAATATGGAAAAATATTTCTTACAACCTATGAAAATACAAACATTTAAGTATCATCATGGTAGCTAAGCAAAAAATTTCTCTGGATCAAGAAAGTCTAGAAAGTACTTCAAAATGGAAAGAAAGATTATCGTACAATGGCAAGATTGTGGCTGGTAGTTTTCCTTGTTTGAAATTTCTTTACTGTCAGTGTTATCCTTTCAGGAGGGTTTCTGAAAATTGAAGTAGCTTTTCGGTATGTGGAATTTAGATTCAAAAATAGAATTATAATGATGATAAATCATTGGGATGAATAACTATAAGAGACTCCAGAACCTTCCATGACAACTTAACAAATCAGTGTCTCTGAGGAAGCATTCAGCATTGCTCCCCCAAAAGCAGGGGAGTAAAGCTTCTGGCCTTAGGATTTCCCGAGGATTCTGAGTCCCTGTTCTCACCATGGCTACCTCGGAACCCTTCCAAGAAGCCCCCAGACCCAGAAGGATGCTCTGTCCTTGGTTGTGGCTCCATGAGGCCTCTACCCTGAGGCAGCTCGTCTTCAGGAAGGTAATTCCAACCCTGAGTTGGTTTGTTCCTGAATATTGGTGAGAAACACTCAGTGTCAGGCCATCAAATTGGCCTGGAGGTCAGTTTAGACTTCCGGGTATAGAAGGACTTTGGAAAACTTGCCTTCTGTCCATAGCCCTTCAGTGAGAGCTACAGGGTTTTGTTGCTGAGATGGTGTGGACCTAATGCAGCTCTGTGCTTAGTTACCATGGCAATAAGGTGCCCCAGGAGTGGAGTGGCCTCACGCAACAGCAAACTGCTGATACAAGAATCTGTTTTCCTCACTAAAGAATTCCTGTCTGCCTCTTTCTGCCCAGCTCTCTCGCCCCTCAGCGTCTCCATTTTCCTTAATGATTTGTATGTCAAACTTGCTGATCAGTTTTACGATAAGAAAAGAGAAATGAAACTGAAGTTCCATATCCCTGTTGGTGGATATAACCGTTTCTGAATGCTCCTTTGATGATCTGAGCATTGGGGTGATGGCCTTGGGAAAGTCCATTTAAGGAAAGGTAATGCCATTTTCAGCTAGTGACCTGTGCATTTTCTTGGAAGCTGTTAGGCCTTGAAGAAAAAGGAGCACAAAGGGCTCTATGTCAATCATATGAGTAACTTTTTCTCTTAAAGGTTTTAAAGGACAGAACTTCAGATCAGTTTACCTGTTCATATATATCCTGGTAGTCCAGTTTTCTACAAACATTTTTGCTTTAGCTTTTTCAAATTCCTAATGTCCAGTATTAAGGGAGGAAAGGGGGCGGGTGTCAGTGGTTATATACAGGGTCTCTTTGATCTAATATGGCAGACCTATTTGAAAGCAGAATTGCAGCTAATCCTTTGGGGATTGGTTCTCTAAGTCTCCCTTTGGTTTGTCTTCCATCCCAGGTAACATCCATGAGCTTCCTGAGCTCTGCTTAGCAATGGTAATGCCTGGGGGGAAGCTCAGTAAGCACTTACATAGCAGGAGAAGGAGGGGCCTAGCAAGGCTTGTGTTCTCTGAGCTTGGCCTGTAGTTATTGCTTATCAGTTAGCAGTGTTTTTAAAGGGAAGAAAACCTTGAGCTATAATGAAGGGGGGGTGTGTGTGTGTGTGTGTGTGTGTGTGTGTGTAGGTACATAAGTAAGTAGATATGATGTAGTAAACCACTTTTTTTTTTTTTCCTTTTTATTCCTTAAAGCTCATTTCATATTCACAGTTCCTCGGTGTGATTAATCTTTTTGCCTCTAGGGAAGGAAGAAGACAAGAGATAACTCTAAAGGGGGAGTTGGGGGGAGGAACAGGTTTTCCTGGCTGCCACCTTAGTCATCACATCCAGAAATCTGATAGAAGAGTTGCCTATGTACTCAGCTTTATAACTTTTTAATATAGGAGCATTTCATTACTGTAGCTAACAAGTGTCTACCCCAGCTTCAGAAGGATTATTGCAAGCTGTACAAGCAAAAGGATGGCCCATTGTCCTCAGATTAATCATAAAATATCCGGCTTTTTCCCAGCTTGTCAGTCAGGAACTGCAGGTTCCAAGTCTTCTTTGCCCTTGGAGAATTCCTTGTCTCCATGTTGTTATTTTCAATCAGTAGAGTATCAGTTGCCTTTTGAGAAGACAGCTGCTGCAGTCTGTCTCTGACGTGGGTGGTCCTGTGTGTGCCCCCTGCCTGACATGCTGACCATGGAGCTGTGTGCTGTACATGGCCTTACATAGCCAGGATTTAGTGACCAAAGCCCCTTGCAAGGGACAGGCCAGTGTTCCTTTTACTATGTACCATGGCTCTTGCTTTATACCCATGAGATGACCAGGAAAATATGCCCAGGATTTTATTGCTTTGAACTCAGCATTAGGATTTGATTCAGCTTCCTTGAATAAGCAATTAGTTCCTCAATTTCAATGACTAAATCAGGGTGGGGCATTTGGATGCACTAATAGGAAAAGGAGGGGCTAATGCACCCCTAGAAAATTCCATGGCACTGTCTAAAGCAGGCAAAATCCTATTCAATGTCTTAGACTAGATTTCATCAGAATAAATCAATGAAAGTAAGTGCTGGTTCTCTCCTAAAAGAATAATTCCAACCCTTGTTTATTTTGAATAATAGAAAAGGTTTGGATGTAACTGACTTACACATAGCCATAGACAACAGAACAAAAACAGAAGAGGATTCTGGAAAGTGCATGTGAACTAAAAAAGTGCCCCTCCCTAAGCAGCTGGCCAGTGCTCATCATTTGAACAGGGTTTCAGCCTTCTGCACCCACTGAATATGGTGGCCAGGAGAACTAAGTACCTCATTCATTTTTTTCCTTACTAGTGGTAATCTGCATTGGGACTTTGTTTTTCATCAAGAGTGCCATAATAAAGGAATTTTCTACTCTGTGGTCAGAAAGGACAGGTTTCTGGATTCGGGTACAGTCTGCCCTCCTGTTGTCTGTATCTGGTATGCATAGCTGCAGCTCTGCAGGTAGGCTCCTGGGCGCTGAAGACGCCCCAAGGAGAGGGCTGAGGGGTGGGGTGGGCCGAGGAGGGCAAAGGAGCCTGGAAGGAGGCCATTCTAGATGGAGAGCCCTGCAGATACACAGGTTCACCAACAGGGGAGCTTTCGAAAAAGGTAAAAACATTAGAAGCCCCAAGTTCAG